TACAAAAACAGGTCTGCATGTAACGAGGAGCAATTGGTACCCATGGGAACTATAACAGATTACAGGAAGATCAGATCTTCAAAACCTACATTAGATATTATAAAACAGAAAATCAAGCATCTTTAAATATCAACTTCAAAGTACTTGTGTTTTAATCAGATGGTTTTGACAAAATAATTTTGCAGTAAACCAATGACTATAGTAAACAATCTGAAACCTGTTCAGGGCAAAAAACGAACCCATAAAGACACAAGAGGTGTGATCAGGTGCCCAGGAGGAATAAGCATCCCCTGTCGACCGCTCACATCTGCCCTCTGCTATTTGTTATAATTGGGTAAACAGAAAAAAAAATCCATAAACATGTAATAGGGGAAAAAATAAGGGAAGATGACAACGACAAAGTTTGATGTTGAGCCATTTGTCAAATACTTCTGTAATTAACAAAGCCAAGAGTCTTTCTTTTTTTTTTTTAACATATCATAAATACGATAATATTGACAGATTCATAATTATACGAGTCAATTTATTTGAAGTCTTTATTTATTTTTATACCATATAAATATATATTCAAGTTGAAAATACATAAAGGATAAAAAAAAAAAGGAATGTAAAAAAAAAGGAAAAAAATTAATATCTTCTGGCTTTTTAATTTATGCACATGTATATCATCAATCGCGTTTTATATAACTGGCAATACAATACATGTTAAAAGATACAATAAAATTATTTACTACTAAGAGTCAAGTAAACATAATGCCAATAAATAAGGGGAGGGAGGGTAATGTATTAAAAATATGAACACATTATGCTAAAAGATTTTATAATTAGTTAATACAGTCCAACTGTATCTTAATTCCTTTTCGTAGAAAACAACATTTGCAAAGCACTAGACCTAAGCTCGTTAAGAGCCTTTTTCTTTTCTTCTCTGTCTGTAAAATTCCCCGTTCTATATTGAGCAGCTTGTGCTAATAGTTGGGGTAACCCTCCACTTTGTGTAGAGGTCCTGGGTATATTTTTGTAGAAGTCTGTGTCCTCTTCGAGAACGAGATACAAAGTATCCAGAAGCGCCTTGGTGAATTTAGATTCGTCGTTCTTCGATGCTTCCTGAAACTGGGACCACATTTCGATGAGTTTATGGGACTTTGACTTTTTAGCTGACTCGGAATCATTTGGTTTTACTTGACGTAACTCTTTTTCTGAAATTAATTCCGTCTGTTTCTTCTCCTTATCTGTTTTATCGAAATAGACTTGTAGGGGACCCTCAGGATCCTGTATGATTTCATTGATTTTTTCTCGTATTTCAGTAGCCTCCTCTGGTGAAATGTGTGCTATCAAATTGCTCTCTATGAAATAATGCCTTAGACACCCCTTCTCTAAACATTCCGCCATATAAGATAGGACCATGTTAAGAGCCAATAGTAATGTTGATTCCCGATCAAAGAGGACTGGGTCTATTTGTTCACAGGTATGATAAAACGCAGTTTTCCAGTGAAAAGTTGTCAGAGTCTTGGAGAAACTTCCCAGGAAACCTTTCTGTAGAGACTTCAAAATCAGCAGGCACAGTTTTTGGTCAGCACCCAGAGAATGTGCTAAAATTAATTCTGCTTGATTAAACCCCAGACAGAAATCAATTAACGGCTCTGGGTCGACAATAGCTGGTTTGGCCACAATATACACCTCTGAATTATAGATCTTTTCTACAGTCTCCAGTTTTGGCCAATATGCTGTCTCTCTTTTCATCATCCGCTGTTTCCATTCATCAAGACACTTTAGCTTTCCTTCGATTAGAAAAGCAGCAATAAAATCCCTGCTGCTTTTATAATTGAACCTCACGACGCATTTTCGATCAGATCTTTCATCCATACCATCAAGGTTTTCAGCACCCTCCTGTGGATAGTGCCTACATAATTTCTGCGGCGATGAAGATACTCCCGATTCAGAGGACGAAACTGCCTCTATTAATCCACCGAAAAATCGAAAAAGCATTGTGTCCTGTGGAGTCGATTCAGCAATCATACTGACCAGATTGATTAGAATGTTCTTCATACTAGACGTTAAATTGCTGGATTCAACTACTGACCTAAAATAATGATCCGTGTCTCCAGCATACGCGCCTACATCTTCTTCTGTTTGATAAAGTTTCCCGCCAGATCTAGATCTACATGTACTTTCATTGACTAATTCAACACCAGCAAAATGTTCTTGTGTTATTCCAGGTTTGGCCTCATGATTAAATTCTATGTGTTGTAAGAGGCTTCCCTTCCTCTGTATAGGGACTGAGATCACATGAACTAACCCGCGTACTATTTTAAACGCTTCTTTATCCAGATCTTTCAGTATACGACTATGGAGGTACTTCCCATCTACCACAAGGTCACCAGAAAAAGACACTTTCAGTTTATCTGAGAGTATGCGTACAAAACAAGGAATGTCTTCTCTGTGTTCCAAAGCCTCTACAGGAATGGTGGTTCCTGATATGATCAGATAATCATAGTCTCCCTCGTCTTTGTGAGATCGGAGCCGTGTTCCCTCTATTGTGCTCCCTACCACCTCACAACGCTCGGCTCCGAAATGAGAAGCGAATCTGGTGATGTATTTACAGTATCTGATCTGCCTGGCATCATTTGGAACTGCTTTACTCTGATCTTCTAAGGTCTTGTAGTAGGATCTTAGTTTTGTCTGAAGATAACGTTCCGCCTGCAGCATTTTCTAAAGATGTAATAGAAATTAAAAAAAAATTGTAGAAGAAACAAAGACGCATCTCACAAGTATGCATGACTCGAAATTCAAAGTCAAATTTTAAACAGCACATGTTACAGATATTAAAAGAAATACATATATACAATTTACATAGACATTTAAAAAAAAATACAGTATTGCTAGATATTTAATAGTCTTCGATATTTTTGTTGTATATATGCCGCAGCACAACCGGCATCCATCAACTCTAGAATTAGTAAAATGTCAATTTTGAAGAATTGTGTTTCTTCTGCCTTTTTTTGTTTGTTGTTTTACATCCCTCTGGAGATATTTTTACTCATATGGAGACGCCACCATTTGCCGGTGGAGACCTATACTCGATCGGTACTTTGAGCAGTGAGGGATCTATTTCGTACCAGCACGTATTGTGACACGGGACCTCGGTAAAAATATCCGAGGGACAGGTCTCCGCGTCCAACAGCGGGATTCGAACCCAGGACGTAAGAATCAACTCCTCACTTAGGGACTTTAGAGCAGATGTTCTTACCACTGCGCCACGCGAGCTCTATGAAACAAATTCTAAACATCATTGATCAAAACTACCCCCCCCCCCCCCCACACACACACACGAAATAGGATTTTCGTGTTTGGGCAAAGGGCATATGCCCTTTTTTGCTTGTCAAATTTGTTGTATGTTGGAAATTATTTACTGCCCCCCCCCCCTTTCAATTTTTTTCCAATGTATTGTATATTGTTTAACGTCCCTCTCGAGAAATTTTTAAAACTGAATTTTAAGTGGTTTGCATCTCCCTTTTTTTCGAAAAAATTCCTTATTTTTTTCTGTTTTCTGTCAATATCCCTTGACCTGAAATTCTGGAGCCAGCCTCTTTTTAAACTTTTATTCAATGTGATATTAAGGTTTCACCAAAGGTCAAGTTAAAAATTTATTTTTACAATAGCTCCAAAACTACGTGGTATATAAAGTTAAAACATATACAGTTTATAGATATATCATTGATTAACAGATAGAAAGTATCACTTGATAATAAATACTTTTAAATAAAAATATTGAGGAAAAATGCTTTTAAAAAATGCATATATTGATAATAAAAATATTGAGAAAAATTCTTTAAAAAATGCAAATATATATTTTAAAAATACACCTAATTAATTCCGTATTTTTAGTAAAGAACATCATTGCAGAAGAAAACGAAAGTACATCGCAAATGGCGGGTACATTTTATGCTTTCAATAACAGTCTTTCAGAGACCATTTATGTCCAACTTGCCCTTCATTGATAAACATATATTATTTCTGCAATGATGGTTTTCACTAAAATCACAGAATTAAGCAGGTGCATTTAAAAAAAAATGTTCAAAATTTTTTTATATATTTTTTTCTCAAAAAAAAAAAAAAAAAAAAAAAAAAATTAAATATTTGATTTTAAGCGATTTCTATCTTTTAATCAATTATACATTTATATATGTATTTATGCATATTTATATGTAAACTTTACAACTTTTAACTTTATAAACCACATAGTTTTGGAGTTATCGTAAAAATAATATTTGGACAAGTTGACCTTTGGTGAAGCCTTAAATAAAAAAAATCCAAAGGTCAATATGATTTTAATCTTAAAAGTAGTACATAGGAAAATCGAGAGACATTAAAACAAAAATGATGAATTAGTTATTTAATGATTGATAAAGATTCAATAATGCATCATTCGATAAAAAGGAAATGAAATAAAAATCAGATTTTTACAGAGACAAATCTTATGTACATATCATTATCCAAGAAATAGATTCCCGATATGCTCCATGCTATTGATAGACAAGGTGATCAGGTATAAGTATATAATTGTGTACATGATGCATATGATCATTTCGAACAACATACATGCATAAAGTAGCTGACATATTAAATTAAGATGAATTACCTTTGTTCGACTATGGAAGGCTCACTATATATATGGTGATGAATTTGTTATTACATCAACCACTAGTATTACACACAAGTTATTTACTATATAGAGTTGGGTATTTACTTTCGGTTTCATATTTTTACCTACGACGTGTATTTTTAAATTATTCCTCTTTTTGTTATGATTCGGTACTTTCTCTTTTGAAATAAGCCATACTTTGAATGAGGCGGAGCTTAGTTGTTGTACCATACTATACATCCTATTATTAAATTCAAAACATCACTTTTTGGTAGGGGTGGGTAGGGATGGGTACTAGTACTTTTCAGTCTTAAACTACAGAAAGAATATAAGACTGAGTCGGTCGAGAACGGATGCTTACTCCACCTTGGCACCTGATCTCAGTTCTGGTAATTTCAAGAGGTCCGTGTTTTTGCTCTGTTAACGATGAGGTTTTTTTTGTTGGATTTCAATTCTTTTTTTAACCTGATTACGTCTTATTGTTTTCACCTTTCAATAGTGAATGTCGGTATAACAATCAAGATAAGATAAAACAAGTTCTGCGTCTAACGTCTTCAGGAAATGACAATTAGATTATTCCTTTTCCTTTTCACAGGCTAGTATATTCGTTTTATAACATTCTTTGTAGCATGGTTTTAGCATTTGAAGTGCCACTAAACATATTTATGTATTTGTATGATTTTCATATACATTAACTTAACAGGTATAACCAGATTACGCATGAACCACGATTAAATGTTCACAATTTTTTCTGTTGAAGTGTCTGTTATTAGCGCTGATCCCTGCCCAGGTGACTGGGTCCACCACGAATCCTCATGTTACGCCTTCATCACTGGAGCCCCGGACGGATGGACGGAGGCAATGGTAGTGTAACGACGATTGGGATTATAATCAAAAACCATGAAAAACATAACGAGCTCCTTTCCTGATTATATTCCGGGGTCCCATTTCTACTCCATCGCAAGTGTTGGCGTCTTAATATGAGTGAACATTCTTGAAGGGACGTTATTTTGAAACTAAGGAACAAAAACAATACACATTTTTGTCTTTGTCGTGTGTTCTTTAGTAAAACGGGTCCCTGGACATAAAAATATATCCTGTTTCAACATATAGTACGCCTTGAAAAGAATAAAACAAATGCAATGAATAACCAATATATTTAAAGTTTGAAAATACACGTACATGTATTTAATCAACTGTTTTTAGTTCACCTGAGCCGAAGGCTCAAGTGAGCTTTTCTGATCACATTTTGTCCGGTGTCCGTCCGTCTGTCTGTCTGTCCGTAAACTTTTCACATTTTCGACTTCTTCTCAAGAACCGCTGAGCCAATTTCAACCAAACTTGCCACAAAGCATCCTTGGGTAAAGGGGATTCAAGTTTGTTCAAATAAAGGGCCATGCCATTATTCAAGGGGAGATAATTGAGAATTAGTGAAAATTTGGTGGTATGTTTTAAAAATCTTCTTCTTAAGAACCACTGTGCCAGGAAAGTTTTATATAGTTATGGGAAAATTCTTTAAAAATCTTCTTCTCAAGAACAGCAGAGCCATAATTGTGTATATGGAAGCATAAGTGTAAATTCAAGTTTGTTCAAATCATGTCCCCCGGGGTAGGGCGGGGCCACAATGGCCGACCAAAGTTTTATATAGAAATATATAGGAAAATTCTTTAAAAATCTTCTTCTCAAGAACAGCAAAGCCATAATTGCTCATATTTATATGGAAGCATCCCCAGGTAGTGTAGATTCAAATTTGTTCAAATCATGACCCCCGGGGGTAGGGCGGGGCCACAATGGCCGACCAAAGTTTTATATAGAAATATATAGGAAAATTCTTTAAAAATCTTCTTCTCAAGAACAGCAGAGCCATAATTGCTCATATTTATATGGAAGCATCCCCAGGTAGTGTAAATTCAAATTTTTCAAAATCATGACCTCCGGGGGTAGGGCGGGGCCACAATGGCCTACCAAAGTTTTACATAGAAATATATAGGAAATTCTTTAAAAATCTTCTTCTTAAGAACAGCAAAGCCAGAATTGCTCATATTTATATGGAAGCATTCCCAGGTAGTGTAGATTCAAGTTTGTTCAAATTGTGACCCCCGGGGGTAGGGCGGGGCCACAATGGCCGACCAAAGTTTTACATAGATATATAAAGGAAAATTCTTTAAAAATCTTCTTCTCAAGAATAGCAAAGCCATAATTGCTCATATTTATATGGAAGCATCCTCAGGTAGTGTAGATTCAAGTTTGTTCAAATCATGACCCCCGGGGGTAGGGCGGGGCCAAACTTTTGGATTCAAACTTTTCAATAGTAAACCAATTACTACTTTTTCCTAGCCACAATGCTCGGGTGAGCGATGTGGCCCATGGGCCTCTTGTTACTATCGTCTTAGCAAAATTTGTACATAAATCATATTTTAAACATAATGGCTGTATAGTAACCTTAGTTTAAAGATCATATTACTATACAGCCATTATGTTTGAAATATGATCTTTAAACTAATTTTTATGTATTTAATTTTTATAAATATATACAGTAGGCCTATTCCATACATTTCAACTTTGTATTTGATTCTTTAACTTTTTTATAGCTATACTGTCAAGCCCTCCAGGCCAAGCTGGTAGAAGTGGAAACATCAGAGGAGAATAGTTACCTTCGTCTTCATCTGTTTGATATAGGAAGACAGTCGTCAGGTATAACGTATATAAAGTCTGCGAGAAACATGTCTTAAATTAGCTGCAGAACTGTATCTCTCCGAAAAAATTATATTGACAGACAGGAGAGCTACAGTGCCATCCATTGAAAAAACTGTATATTTATTACGCACAAAAAAGTGCGCTGTTTCTCGGTTTATTTCTCCATGTTTTTAAAACTGTCATCTCAAAATTTGACTATCTGTGTGTTCCTAGCATATTCTTTCCCTGGTTCCACAACAAAACATTCCTTATAATTGTTGTGAATAGGCCTCCTGGCTCTGAAATTGAGATCTTCGAAAATTTTGTCTCTTTATACTGCCATTTTGGTTTGCACGATAATTCGGTCCAATGCGCTTCGTGCAGATATAAACTACCAGTATACTTGATAGAGGAGTACGGAATTTTTGGAAATCTGGCTTTTTGCAATTTAAGTAAGAATTTGGAAGAATTAATCCAGAACTAAGGCCAAAATAAAAAATACCTTTGTTTCCCCTAACGCGACCGACCCAATTAAATCGCGACGACTGAAAAGATTCCTTTGAAATTTTAACATAGGCATGATATCAGAATATCCTACAATAAGATATATAGCAATTTTTGAATAAGAAGATTCAAATATTTTTTTTATTGTTAAGCAAGTTTTATAAAATACAATTTCATCAAAATCAGTTTTTATCAGAACGGCCGACATTGTTCTACTGTGATTTTTAAGCATTTGTTGGAAACAAAATGACGTCCAGATATGATTACAGGGCATAAGCTCTTCATGAAACAATGGCGACTTTGCAATCCTATGCTTTTAGCTATTTGGAATTCTTCACTCTTGAAACAATTCGATAATAAAATTTACCATGATAAATTAACAGTGTTTCGGAGGTGTCTTGGCGTCTCCATGTGAGTGAATAAATTTTCAAAAGGGACGTTAAACAACAAACAAACATACTTGTCTTTGAATTTATGGTACGTAATACATGGTAAGGCCCGCCTCATGAGTAGATGAGGGGCCCACCTGATGAACACATCATTCAATTTCACTGCATTTTATTTAATTTGAGTTTTGATCTAATAACCAGTTCATCTATGTCCCTATGTTTGCTACTCCTCGGTTTTCACATAGTAATTGGATATATATAATGGACTTTTTGCACTATATGCCATTATGGGACCATAGGAGTTGTTGTAATTATGTCTGCATATTCATCCTGATAAGTATAATTCAGATGTCCTTTCTTCATGCCTTTATTTAGTGTTAAACTTCGTGACTATGACATTGTGTATATCATTTTTATCAATTGTAGATTCGGTTTGATTCAATTAAATATTGTTAACAAACTCTTTCCAAATAGTTTTGAAATCAAGATTCAGCTTCCTGAGACGTCCAGTGTATTTTTCTTTAATTAGGCCCTTGAAGATTGGTTGTTTCTTTGCTTTAAATCCCTTCGAAATTTGTTAAGACGACATTTAAACATTTCCGCATTGCTCCAAATTTAGCACTTTTTTGCCATTAAGCAGTGGGGGATCTTTTTTTAGCCAGCATCTTCTGCGACACTGAACATAAGTTTTTATGGTCCCCTTTGAAGGACCGTTATCAACGTTACTCAATGGGATTTTAACCTGCGATTTAAAATTAACCACTTACTTCTTAACTCTAAAGCAAAATGCTTCAGACCACTGCAAATCTCATGGCCCTCAAAAAAGTACATTGATTGTCTATAAGCTCTGAAGGCTGATGGAAGGTTTAAAAAAATTAACTTGTATGTCTGGTCTTTGCGTATTTGAGAATCTTGTCTATTTTATTCAATTTATATAAATGTAATGGCGTGAGATATTTCACAAGTTCAACTAAATAACAGTTGTGAATTATTTAATCATGAATTTTGCTTTTAAACGGCATATGTACGATACTTAGCATTTTGTTCACAAATCGCATTCTTTTGTACTTTTCTTATGTACTTTTCTTATTTATAAAGGTAATTTTCCATTAAATTTTAGAATGTATTTTCAAAAATAAAATTGTTCACCTACCTACCAACCCAAATGGAGAATTTAGGGTCGGGTTAGGGGAAACAAAGATATTTTTAATTCCGGCCTAAGCGCATCTTTTTATGCGCAATAAATGTACAGTTTTTTCAATGGGTGGCACTGTAGCCCTCCGGTCTGTCCGGCAATATATTTTTTCGGAGGGCTTCAGTTCTGCAGCTACGTTTAAATTAGGGATAGATTGACCGATTGTAGGTTGATTAATGCCCCCTTCAGGAATTTTCCACTGATAGAGACCGGTGACGGGCTACACATCAGGTCATTTTTACAAAATCATCTGCCCAGTCCCGACCAACTGATTGACAAAGAATCGACTCAAAACTTTGAACCAGTCAGTTTGGATGTACTCTATAACTCAGCATGACCCATATCTCTGTAGTTGATTTTTGGATGGGGATGACAGACCTAGTAGCGGAGGGGCACTGGCGCTGGATGTCGACTCAATCGAACGCGACCTTCATGGACTGGTACCCGGGGGAACCAAACAATGGCAATGACGAGGACTGTGCCACTTTTGGAATCAATTACTCGTGGCACTGGAACGATGTAGATTGTACAGCCAAAATGAACTACATTTGTGAAAAAAGGTTTCTATAGTAATTGACTTCATGCCGTTTCGTATTCTTTTTTTTTTCTTTTCAGTATACCGATAGTTTTTGATTTGGTTTTGAATCTTCAGTTTTTCTTAAGTTTTCTTGCTTCATTTTTTTCAGCATAAAGGAAGAAGTATCAGTCATTGGATAAGAGGAATGGAGAGTTGTGGCAAAATAAAAAAAGTTACAATCATTTCTTGTAAACCAATCAATAAAACATTCATGACTATTTTTTTTTTATTTTAAAGACAGAATTGGACAAAGATTTGCAATTTATATTTAAACATTAAGGATGTAAATTCAATATATTTCTTGAAGATTCATTTAAAGACAATTCATCTTTTTGTGCTTTTTTTTAATTGCATCTACTGCGACGCATCGTCTCAAGCCACGGTCTGGAGTTCGCATATACATGTAGCTCTCTCTACCCGTGGCTGCTTGATCACAAAAAGTGTCGTAATGTTGAATATTTACACCTCTCTATTGTGACGTGAGAGGATCGTACACTTTTGCCGTGGTTTGCGACGATGACTGCAACGGGGACCACGATTTAATTAACGGTCTCATCAGAAGGCCGACCAGCATTGGGATTCGAACCCGCGACGTACCCAAAAACATACTTTTTACTTCACAACTCTACATACATAAAGCTGCAACTCTGTGATATAATTCAAAGCACAGAATAAATGATTATAGATATTAATGATTGACTGCTTTTATGTCTTTCTTTATTTCAAGCCATGCTAGTTAAAAAAATGAAAAAGACTCTCCTTCGGCACTACTGAATCAACCAGTAAGCAATAAAAGGAAGTCATTTTTTGCCGTTTGCCCAGTTTGATTGGCAGTTATTTCTGTTCATACAAACATGCTTCTGACAGACTATGATGTTTCTACTTAAGAATAACGTTCATATAATGTCAGACACAGGTGTCTTTGTGAGAAGATAAAAATACTCTAGTCCAATCTAAAAATGAAAGTTCATTTTTGTTTTGTATGTCAAGATCAGTAATAACATTAATAATTGTTAACTTTTCTTAACCCCTGGCTTACAAAACTTGGTTAAATACATATTTTTGACCTAAGCAGTTACTACAATTTTTTTTCTGTAACATTTACCTTTTCCTGTACATTTACTAGGATTTTTAAAAAAAAATTCCATTGCATTATCACCCATAGCCCTTTGTCTAGGTTTGAAGAGTTAAACTCTTTTATTTCATTCTTTAAATTCCTTATCAATATAAACAGAGGATTTACTGACCACTTTTCGTGACATATCAGCTGAGCACCACTTGTTAATTTGGTATGACCCCCCTCCCTTTTCCTCTCTGACATACATGTACGTCACGAACCCGAGGCAAAGCCCATGATAACTTACTGTCACACAACCAAATCTTAATATTATCAAGCTTTTACATAAATATCTAGATATGTATATAAACTGATACATAATTTGATTCACAAATTCACATATCAAAATAAAAGAAGGTACCAATGCATCTTCAATGTGTATCTAAACCATTATTGAATCAATCAAAATAAGCTTAAAAAGATTTTTTTCATCAAAATACTATTCATTTTAATTAACTAATTAATCATCCTCTAACGATTCATCTTCTGAGCCTATATTGAACGTCTCTACATAGTTCATTCTGAGGTCAGGAGACGCGCCACTTGAACTGTCAGTGACAGGGGTATCACCGTCTGTCTGAAGGTCACTCATCTTCTCACTCATGACTTCCGGTTCAGATTCCTCTGTTATGTTTTCTTCTGGTGTTTTGTTTTTAGAAGTCACTTCCAGTTCCTGTCTATCACTAACTTCCTCTTCCTGTTTGTCCCTGACTTCCTCTTCCTGTTGGTCCTCAGCTTCCTCTTCTTTGGCACGTTTTGACTCCACCTCGATGACTCGTGCCTCCATTTCTGCTAGATGTGACTCCGCCATCACTCTCTCCATTTCACATGGCTTCAGAAAGGCCTCACTACTGGTTAATTTGTTGTTGGTAGAATATCCAGAGAAATCTGCTCCTACAAAAACAAATATCTTTATCATTGATTCTAAATGTGACCTACCGGTACTCATTATAATTTTTTCCCTTTTTATGGTATTTTCCTTATCTATAACATGTATTATCGATAAAAAATAACAAAAAAATGATGATGCCTGAAATACCTGTATTTAAAGATAAACATATCAGGTAATGTTATATATGTAATTTAACTGAACTTTTCAGGTGTTAATTCTGACAGACATATAAAGGGAATTTACCTTATCCCTCCGGAGATAACCTGTAAGGTACTGTTCTAGCATCTTTGCTAGCTTAGGGTTTCTGATATGCTACTCTTCTCGTAAGCTTATGAGAAGAGTAGCATATCAGAAACCCTTGGCTAGTGAAGATGCTGTTCTAGATATCAAAGATTTACCTGCCATGTAAGCAGCTTCTGCTGCATCATTGACGAGTCGTTGACAAACCGATAGAAGCATCACTAGGTCCTAAAAATAAACACACATCATTAAAATGTATACGTCTACCAAAAAAATTCAAAAACTATGTCATTTGAAAGTTTTAAAAGGTAAAAATTTAATAATTCAATTACTGTATTTAATGTAAAGATCATGAGACACTCTACATACTTGTCTCTTCTTCCTCAGTGCCTTGACACTAATTCTGGACTCTGTGATCAGTTCGTCCATTTTATCCTGGTCAGGGTGTCCTGGATTTTCCAGCCTCACTTCCATCAACTTTATCAGGATGTAGATTCCCTTAAAAAGTTAAAAATAAACAGTTTCAAAACTGGTAGCATTTATTAACCAATGAAAATGTTCCCTAAATTCACCTGAATGACAAGCTTGCCATAAAAAATCTCAATACATCTTGTACCTTTGTATATTCCTTTTCAGCATTAAACAGAGCAACGGTCACATAAGTTAACAGAGTTGACGCCGCCTCAGCACTGGCTATACTGGAGTTCTGGAGAAGTTGTGAGGTAGAATAGTCATCCAGACTGGGAATCTGGGGAGAAAAAAGAATAGTTATAATAAACTATAAAATTCATTTCTAAAACTTGAAGTCAAAAATTTGCTACGAATCATTGATTTCACAGTTCTTGCCGATGGGGACCACCTATACTGTAAAACCAACTTTTATTTGTGACGAATTCATTTCGCAATTTACCAGGGATAAACTAATTCGTGATGATTATTTTTGTGATCAAGCCTTTTTTTGATCTGAAAAAGACACTAAGGACCAGTTCGCGACGAGAAATATTCACGATGAAGTGGCTTTCGTGAACCTCGCGATAATTTCTTGTACGCGAATATAAAAGTTGGTTTACAGTATATCCTATTGACAATATTTATGTATAGTCTTTAGAGACCGAGAAAGAGCCTTGGTGTCTTCAGGGGGCTCAAGACCTATAAAAAGGGATGAATGTGGTACGTCCCATTCTGGTCCAGTGCATTTTTCTCCTGTTTGTTATACTACAAGTTCCTGATCCCGATTGTGGTTTTGATCAATTGTATGTTGCTTAATTTCCCTCTCAACAATTTTTTACTCACCACCGCTTACTGGTGGAGAGATGCAAATTTTTGTCCAGTACTCAGGTCAAAAACGAGCAGTGAGGGGTCTTTTTTACGTGCCAGCATCTTCTACGATACGGGACCTGGGTTTATACAGTCTCAACCAAAGGACCAGTCTCAATCTCCCACAGTGGGATTCGAACCCACGACATAAGGATCAACTCGATCTTATTTCTCGACTCTAGAACAGCCAGCCAGACGCTCTAACCACTGCGCCATGCGTGTGCTAGTGTGATACAGTACCATTTATGAAAAATACATCAGAACAGATGGGAATGAGTTTCCATATAATGGGCTTCACTCAAAATCATATTGAACAAATACAAGCTACATGTGATAATATTTCCATTTCTAATTTTTCTCTCTGTGATAACTCTTTGAAAGTTAGGGGTAGTTTATTTCTTGATAATTCTGCCGGAATGTAAATTAGGCAGGTCGATAGGTCGGGAGCTAAGGAGGCCTAATACGCATGCAATTCTCGTGCGCATCTGTCTCTGTGCCTGACGCTTAAAGGAGGCCAAATATGCATGTATATCTCGTGCGGCTGCCTTTGTGTTTGACGTCGGTTGGCGAGTACTATTGAAATTGGCATGGAAGTCATCATGTGATTTAAATCTATCTATCTACATTTTTAAAGTCTAAATCTACAATTTTATTTCACAATGAAATGGAAATATAAGGAATCACTGTCTAGTTAGGAGGGTATGCCAGGGACATCAACAATAGTGGGAAACATGGGATAATTTTAGCATAACGGGCGAAGCAAATTATCCCATGTTTCCCACTATTGTTGATGTCCCTGACATACCCTCCTAACTAGACAGTGATTCCTTAAATAACCGAGAAAATTCGGTTTTCCTCTGCTTACCTCTAGTGTTGTGGCGGCTCTTGACACCATAAAGAATGTGAGATGTGATCCCGTCAGAATACGAAGGAATCTCCGGAAACCTGGATTTCCTGGAAATTGTTTCAGTCTAAAGGCTTGTCGGATGCAGGACCGAAGCGTTCTCATTTTGAGCCAGGGCTGAGGACCTCGCAAACTTCTTACGAAATCGTTTGTTTACGTTTTGCGATAGTTTCGTATAAAGACTTTATTTAGCATATTGATGTGTGTCATTGTATTTTTATAACAGGTTTTACATCCTGTAAGTAAAGAAAGAGAGGATAAATAAAACGCAATTTTAAGATTTTTCCCCCCCTAAAAATATGGAAGCTGAAAGGTGTTAATGAAAAAAATATGGAGGCACATTAAGGTTTTGCAAAGTTTTTTTTTTCGATTTGAACATATTTCATTTAGTTAAATTATGTTCGTGAAAATTTTCTAGGGTCAGATTACTGACAAACAAGTTGATGTTTCAACAGTATAGATCTACAATATTTTGACTGATTAAACTATTTTGTAATTTTTGACCATTTTCCCATACTGAAATGATTACGGATTTATGACAAAGAGCACGTACACTGTGAGTGTGACCGGTCGGCATGGGGCGCTTATGTCTTCATGGCACCTGATCCCACTCTGACGTGTTCAAAGGTCCGTGTTTGAATTGCTCAAAATGTGTGTGTTCAATTAATGGCTGTTTATCGGGAAAAAATCGTTCAATGTAGTTTGATTAGGCTGTGTACTTTTAAATTGCACAATAGAAGATGATCATTGATTTTGGTTAAATAAGTATACATAATAAGCTCCCTTAGTGCGATTCTTACTGTACAGAAACCATTAAGTCTCAATCATAAGCGTGGTTATCGGGCACCTTGCATGAATTTTCTTAAAATTAGTTTTGAATGAATGAGTGAATTGATAAAAAATCAGAGCATAGAAAAATAACGAATGAGCAATTCTATTTACCATCTTGTGGCAACATCTTCACCAGAAGAAAACAGCATTGCCTGTGTTGCTGCATGTATTAATTAATCTTTGCTGCTTTATACTTTATCCAATATACTTATTTAACTAATGACGACACTCTCAGCTTTCTCTCTCTCCCTCTCTCTCTCTCTTTTTTTTTGTTTTTCCTATCCTACGCGATGATCATATCAACAGATATCTATTCTGAACTCTGAAGTTAAATTTCTATTTATATACCAACCAGGGAATTAAAAAAAATAATAATATAGAATTGAACCGTAACCACTGCCGATAAACAAAGTGATAAAAATTCAGCATGTAACCAAAATTTTCTGCATCAGGGAATATAATCGATGAAAGAGCAATTTACAGACCAATGTGCCAGTCACAAAAACTTTAACCTTGCCCATAACTTTTGATTTAGTGGAAAATGCTATGATTTTCATATTTCATATGTGTATTCCTTGTGATAAGACCTTTCTCATCTCTGCAGTAAAATCAAATTTGACCTCTTGACCTTGGAGTTTCAACTACTTTTTTTTTCTAAAAAAATCCACACACTTTTACTTTCGCCACAACTTTTGAATTGGTAGGTACTAGGACTTTCATATTTCACATATTTATTCTTTATAACAAGACCTTTCAAGTAATTGAATACCAATTAATTACATTTGACCTTTTGACCTTGACCTTGAAATTTTTTCAATTACTTGTAATTGTAATTTAAAATTACACTATATCAATTACTTTTTCAATTACATTCAATTACTTTATATAATCATGATAATAATACACATGCTATATACGGCTTTTATACTTCACATATGTTATTCTTGTAAGATAACCTTTATTGGATAATTATAATGAACTTTGACCTTTTAAAATTTGACCTTTTTTTTTGTTTTATGTTTTAACTACTTTTTAAAAATAATAACACACATTTTATCACAACTTTTGAACGGTAGATACAAGGACTTTGTGTGTGTCACACAATTATTCTTTTGGTATTAAGAAACACCTCATCTGTAAATTGCATCACCAAAAACTTTGACCTTTGGATTATTGACAAAGCCAATTGGAGATTTACGTACTTCTGAAAAAACTTTAACCTTGACCATAACTTTTAAACGGTAAGGGCTAGGGCTTTCGTACTTCACGTATGTAATCCTTGTGAGATGACCTTTCATTGCATGCCAAGAACTTTTATTAAAAACTTTGACCTTGACCTTGGAGTTTTTCAATTTCTTTTTAAAAATGTTAACCTTGGTCACAACTTTTGAACGGTAGAATCTAGGACTTTCATATTTTAAATATATGTATTCTTTATGGCAAGACCTTTCTTTATGGGATACCAAAAAATTTGACCTATTGACCTTGACCCTAAAAATTTGCTTATTAAAAATTTCCCACAAAGATACCGAAAGCGGGGGACCACAATTCTTTGAATTTGCCTGTTTTTTTTTTGTTTTTCCTATCCTACGCGATGATCATATCAACAGATATCTATTCTGAACTCTGAAGTTAAATTTCTATTTATATACCAACCAGAGTTGAATTAAAAAAAATAATAATATAGAATTGAACCGGAAATAACCACTGCCGATAAACAAAGTGATAAAAATTCAGCATGTAACCAAAATTTTCTGCATCAGGGAATATAATCGATGAAAGAGCAATTTACAGACCAATGTGCCAGTCTAAATTAATAAGCAATTCACTCAAACTTTCCCGACTCAGAATAAAAAGAACGCATTTAATCATGAATTGTTTTACCTCTGGAATTGAATTTAGAGGCAAAATGTTAGCACTTCTCTTTAAAAGGCGATAGAAAATTTTGGAATCTTAGTAAATTATAAGCAGTATGAAGTCGTAACCAGTCGAACACTTGTGGTGCTTATTTTATAGTAGGCCTACATCTCTCATCTCTGCAGTAAAATCAAGATGACATAAATGATCTGTATGCATCAACTTTCAGCTAACAATGGCTTTTTTTTCTGGTTAATTCCAATTAAATCATTACACACACTGTACACAATACAGTTCATTAAAATAATAAAATGCTTTCTTTGCAATTGGTTGTACGGGAATTAATGTCGCAGCTGTTGCAGATACGTCACCCGCGTAAGCGCGTCATATAGATTTTTTTTCTCTATACAATAGCTGCGAAGTTAATACCCGTACTAACAAACACATAAAGAAATTTTATTGTTTAAATCTATAAATCTGTATGAAAAAAACCCATTCAAAGTAAAATTCAATATATTAAATATTGTATTATATATGAATATCTCATTGTATGCATAACTGATGGAACAGCCATTGTTAAGAAATCTGTGCACGTAGCTTGCTTAGTGTCGCTTATGCACTGATTTAATTAACGTCAATGGTCATTATGAGAAATAAAGGAAATATATTCAGTGGATGTAAATATCTATCGGTAAATACGAACATGTTACAGTGTTGCATCACAAATGCAATCAAGGGTAATATATTATTGATATCGATATTTCTCTATTAACAAAACAAAGATTGTGTTTCAAAGAATACGACGAAATATAAGAATTAAAAAAAAAGATAGTTGAAACAAAATTATAGTTACGTAGACGAGTGAGATTTTACCAGGAGCACTGTCGGGAATCCATTTTCAGCGTGATTTACTTGGTGAGCAATTGAGATAAATCATGTCTCAAATAAATTTTTAATGATTAAAACAATGTTACAGAAGTCAAGTATATTCTCCAGACAATGCAAAAGTTATCTCCATACAGTAGAAACTTATTGTAACAGATTTGTAATTCCAAGGTTCTCAGTATTCCTAGAAATTGTCAGTCTTATAGGAAAACTAATGAATGCCTCAGTACTGCTACTTGTTATTACCATTCTCACATCCAATTAAGGAACAACAATCTCAGGAGACAAAACAGTGACTGATAGACAACAAAATTGAAAAGTTTTGTGTTCGAGTCTCAGAAGTGACAGGGGGTGTACAGGATTCTGTTGACGTAGGTCCTGGCCGTCTTATGTCGGAGGGAGTAGATGATGGGGTTCAGGAAGGAGTTCGTGAATCCCAGGAGGAGGATCACCTCGTTAGCGACCCACGGGAGGCGGCACCACTGACACACACTCCTCAACAACATCGTGATAAACAGCGGCCCCCAACAAAGGGCGAAACACGCCACCACCAGGGCCATCGTCTTGGAGGATTTGAAGGACGCTTTGATCCGCGCCACTTCCAAGGACTGCACGCTTGAGCTCCTGGATTTCTTAGATGACCTTGAAACAAACCTGTAGTGCGTCTGTATTTTGCAGTGGATACAAGCGTACATCACTAACAATAGAATCAGAGGTAGAAAGACTCCAGACGCTATAGTAGTCACAAGGAATGTTTCGTCAAATATATCATAATACGCGCAAGTTTCAAAATCTGGATCAGCCGCCAACATGGAGAGTAAGGTCGCAATAAGGCTGCACACCCAAACGGAGCAGATACATACCAGAAACGTGGCTCTCTGGGCGCGAATTTTCAAGTGCATCATGGGAAAACACACAGCCATGAAGCGCTCAGTCCCAACTAACAGAAGATTAAGGATGGAAGCCACAGTCAGAAATAAAGAGCTCGCAATTATGGCCAAACATAGGTCATTGCTGAGGTCTTCTAGACTGCAGTACAACCAGGCAATGTAGGAGGGTATGGTTACCACGCCGATGAGAAAGTCGGACACGGCCAGAGACAGGATTGAATAGTAGGTCTCTTTGTAAATCAGACTGTTGTTCCAGAGAGCTAACACCGTAAGTGCATTTCCAAATGTGATTCCCAGGGAAAGAACTGCTAAATAAACAGTAGAAGCCACCGCAAACACTTCAGAAATGCGGTCAACACCCGCGGTAACGTTGGGGCAATAGCTGAAGTTTGAATTTGAATCCAAAGTCAAGTTTACTCTTTCCATGTTTATTGTTCGAATGCCTCCAGGTGACTTGATATTGAATTTTAAATACATCGGAGCAAAAGCAGGATTCTCATTCTGCAGTTGACAGTTACTGGTATTGAACCTTATGACACTGACAGGGTGACAGTCCAACAGCGTCAATTTTCACACATGCGTACTTGAAACGTAACCAAGCACGATCTAAAAAACGTGAAGATGCTGACGGGTCAACACAAGTAGGTTTATTTGAGCCGCAGAGGAGGGACCGTTACAGAACAAGTTAAAAGTTCATGTCTACACGTATTGATCATCTGTTTACTTAATTGAAAAGTTAATAACATCCATCCTCTTCAGGCAACTAGACCCAATAAATAGTTTAAGAAACCATTTCTCGTGTCGTCTGTGTTCCGATGGTATTATCTCCAAATTAGATATACGATTAACGCTGCACAGGCACGTGCTGTAAATTAATGTTCATAAGAAATATAAAATTGCGTTGTACCGTGCGCTCCCAAAAGCTCTCTTATCTACGAGACTCGCATTGAATACTTTCATCTCTTGAAATCAATGTCTGGTACAGTCAATTTAATTAACATGTTCTACAGAATACACATGCTCTAACCTAATTTCCAACATTTATACTTTATTTATTTAGTAACATATTTTGCCTGATGTTGATGCAATAGAAATCAGAGGTAACATTTAACCAAATGTCTCTGACGAGACTGCAGCTCTACTGATCTGTACCGGTATTTATAAGAAGGAAAAGTAGCATTGCTACTTGAAACTATGCAACAGTAATAAATGGAGTATACGGTCCCTGTTAGACCTCTTTTTGGCAAGATTTAGTGTTTGTTTCTATGTTGTTCAACTCCCTTCTCGAGAATTTTTCACCCATATCTAGAGGCCACTACTTGTCGATGGAAAGTCCTATGCTGTTAAAAGTAATTACAACTTCAAACAGGCATCTGTTGTAATATTTTACTTAAGTATCAACTAACAAATGACAAAATGCTAAATACATATACAAGCACATTCTCCAAAATAAAACAGGAATATCAGAGATGTTCACTGAATGTTTAATTGTTGGTCACACTTTCCAATCTGGGACATGTTCATTCTGTACAGAATGGTTGTACGTATGCGCCAAGTACAAATCAGTGTTAGTAAACAAAAAAATCCACAAAAACAACCTGTACGTGTAAACATACACCATAATTTTCTTATACAGGTATACATGGCACACCTGCCAAATTCACCTCAATCTTAAACACTAATCAAAGTATCAGTAATTATATATTGCAGCATTAGTAAAAGCACCTCATTGTGTTGAATAAGTCTGGACTCGTTTCTAAGGAGAACATTGACAAAATATTTGATAACATTAGTCACATCTCCAAATTGACATTTTCTGACTCCTAAATGATGAAATCACTTCTTTTCCTTAAATTTTTAACAAAACAATTTTGTAGTTGAATGGAGTTTGACAGAAAATTTTAACTTACAATATTTCTATTTAAGCACATTAAATGGAAATACATCTTAGTAAAAACGTTGTCATGAAGGTAATTTTACATGCACAGATCAAAACATGATGGGGTTTAACTTCACAGTGTTTGTATCATAATGGGTGTATATTTATACCAACCCTGAAATTACAGCAGCTTAACATCAAATACTGCTTAAGTTATTCAGTGCAGGTTCCTTTTCATACAGAATTAAAAATGACATTTAAAGACATAAATACTCTTCATTAGCTTACATCTAATACAAGAATTACTAATCAAACACTTATTTAGCATTAATTAGGTCAATAGGTCAAGTAAGTGGGTAAGTTATGTACATAAACAGCCATTACATGTATATCACATCACAATTTTTTTTTCAAAATACAAAGTATTCAATATTTCTCATAGGTCTTGCAAACAATGAAAACAATACAAATTTCAAAACTTTACAAGCTTTAACTAATACCAGGAAAGATCTGCAAGCATAATTAAATAAATTTCTTCATTATATAAAGTAAATCACAAAAAGATCTGGAATGTAGAATCTTTCCATAAACATTATAGTGTAACCCCCCCACCCTTCCCCAAGTATTCATATAGAATAAAAAAAAAATTCATTAACTTTATTAATGTTATATAAGTTAGGCATAACTCGGTTACTTCTATAAATGCCCCAGCTAAAAAAAAATCTCTTCTCAAAAAAAAAAAATAATAAAACAAATGATAGGGCTGGGGATTTCCGATTTATATCTAAACTGGTACCCCTCCCGAGCAGGGATCATTAGATAATTGTACATGTACATGATGGACTTAACTGTAGACAATGGAAAAGCGGGTCATTATATGTGTATGCTAAAGGTGAGACCTTGATATTTCTATTACATGCTTACTGTCAATAACTTCTGGGTCTGGATGAGAATTGACAACTTCAAACTCTCTCATACACTATACACTCATGTACATCATATTGTAAGTTCCATCTAAATAATTATAGATATTTTCTTTGAAGACTGATTCAAGGAATATTAATAAATTTACTTTTTATAGCAAGATTTCTAACAAATAAGAATCCCCAAACCATATCGTATATATATATATTGGGACCGTAACTCACTCACTTGTCAACAATGCTTACTCGGCGTGTGAGGAAAATTAAACTCTCCAGCACTCAGGGCCTCATAACAACAGGTTCTCCTTCATATTTACACAGACACTCCTCGAACTGTCATAATGCCTCACTCTGGCAGGTTTTTCACTCATTTTTAATTTTATTAACATCTAAATTTAAGCACAGATTAATAAGATAAATATGCTATTACTAGCTCAATAATGTACACACACATAAGTTTTTCAGGTAGATAAATAATGAAAAAGTCTGCAGTAAACAAGAAGGAAGATTGTCAACAAAAATGAAACTCCAGATATTGATACTGGCACTCAGTCTCAAAAAACAAAACGCCACAGTCTAATTCAAAATATTATAAAATGACATACAACACTTATTTTTCCTGATCTACATAAGACATTATTTTCAAAAAATTGGTAAAATACATTAACATACAACAAGTGAACTCTGGAAAGCACAAACACAAACATTCACAACCACCCATACACACATACAAACAAACATACACACAATACATCAGGTGTCAAATCACAAAATTAAGGGGGAGATAACAACCATAGTCCGGAATACAATATCCCCCAACTCATGAAGAAATGCATGCTACGTCTTTACTTTTGTTTAACTAATAAATCACACACACTTTTGTAGTAAGATAAAACAATTAACACTATGATTTGCATATAAATTCACAAAGCACTAAATGGAGACTAACAATCAAATCAGTACATTTTTTTCCCCTCATTGCATTGTTTAAAATATCTTTATAATTGCAGCTCCAGCAACGCAACACTCCAATCAGTTTCGTAATTTGTGTTCAATTATGGCATTGGTCTATTTGACACATAAATATCCCTCGAACTTCCATTTTAAGTCACTTTTAAGTCTCTTTTAATTGTAATTGTATTCTATGAGGTAGTCGGGATAGGCCTGACTGCTGTCGAAGATGACGAATACTTTAGGATTATGAATATTGTCTACGCAGGAGTCGTAACATTTCCCGTACGGATCGTTGACGGGGTCTAACGGCGGAGGCTTCCTGTACGTACTGCTTCCCCCGGTAAACCTCCCGACCAGAACCTTCGCCATGAACATTTTATGAAGAGTCTTCTCCGCCGCCTCCTCGGGTGGCTGGTAAACACTCTGAGACCGGAGCTTCTTTTGCAGTGCCTGAAGTCTCTGGAACTGGCCCCCAGCTTGAATGTTTATCTGGTCCAGTATCCCAAACAAAGAGGAAGCATCCTGTGGAGACTGTCCAGGATTCAGGGATTGGGAGGGACCAGGATTCAATGACTGAGAGGGGCCTAGATTTAGTGACTGGGAGGAGTTAGGATTTAGCATGTGCGAAGGGCCAGGATTTGAAAGTTGTGAGGGGCCCAGATTCAGCGACTGACAGGAACCCAGACTCAGTGACTGGGTGGGGCCAGGATTGAGTGGCTGGCTGGGGCCAGGATTAAGTGGCTGTGACGAGTCGTGATTCGAAGGCTGAGAGGAAGCTAGATTCACTAGAGAGCTCTGTATCATTGTGTTGGGTGGATTCTGTACAGTAGAGGAAGTCCCATCAGAAGGTGATATTGTCTGGTCCTGTAAAGAGCTGTTTGAACACATCTGATTGGCTATATTCTGTGTGGCATTAAGAGATGAATTCTGATTGGTCATAACATTCTGAGCACCAAAGGATGAGTTCTGATCAGTCAGAGAAGTGAATGGTGTGGCAGGCGGGTATACAGAAGAACTTTGAAACCGTATTGTGGTTTGAATGTTACTGCTAGAAGGACTTGGATTGGATGTGGCATCCCGACTTGTCGAAGATGATGAACTAAGTACTCGATGTCTGCCAAAGCCCCAGTTTCTCTGGGACTGGACTCCATTTTGTCCAAGACCTGAAGAACTGCTGGAGGCTGAATCACCAGCCCCTGACCCCGAGTTGTACTGCAGGACGAACGTCCTAGATGATCCAGGGAAGTTACTAGAGGTGGAGTTATTGTCGTCGTTCCCATTACTGGAGGCTGAGGCAGGATTGGACAGAGCTGTAGAGGTGTACACTCGACGAGGCGAGAAAATGGAGGAGGTGACCATAATCTGAGACGGATCGAAGGTTAACGGACCCATGCGGACTGGGTTGGTGAAGTGCTGGAATGGGAGCGTGCTCCTCTGGTATAGGGCCCGCTTTAAGTTTGGCCGGCGGCGATCGCCTTTCTCTGTGTACTGGTGTGAGTAGGAGGAGTGGGTGGCAAAATAAGATCCTACAATAAAATCATGTAACAGATGTACACAAAGGACTTAACCAGACTTTATCATACATCAAAATTTCTTTTGATCAGAGAAGATCATTTTAGCTTCAAGTAAATCAAAAAAGGTTTTGGGAAACCAATTGTCACATATTTCAGTTCTTAAAATCCTTATGTGAAAGTAATAATGAAGGCGAGTTCAATTATGGCGACAAATAAATGATAATTTAAGAGGTAGTCCACCGAAAAACCAGGCAATAGGTGACACATGGCATGTCATGGATTTTCATTATTTTTTGCATGTAGACTTCTTAAAGCAAGTGTTTACACATGACAACATAAAAAAAAAAATTTAGTGGTCCTCTAGTCCTATTTTTGGTAAATTCCTAATTTAAAGTGCAAAAAGGTCAACATTAGGGTATAAAAAATACTACGTTTTTAATTTGTTTTATATGTAACAGATACTCAAAAGCTAGATGTGTCAATCAATATTATTTATAGCAAAGGCCACATCATGGCAGCATTTTTTTCAAAAACTGGTTTCATGAATATAAAAACATTTTAGAATTGGCCAACATAGCCACATATTTTAATGCCATATTAAACCTAAGTATGTTATTATTTCGATCTCCAAATTATAAAAAAAAATAATTAAAATTAAAAAAAACAGAAACGTTTCACTGAACCATCTTCCGTTTTAGTGTCAAACTGAAGTGGGGAGTTCAGCAGTAATCTTCCGTAATAAATATTATTGTACAGTAACTTATTTTTCAGGGTTTTTTCTTTTATATTTTTAATCGTAACGCTGCTTGTTTATTTTTATTTGACTGCATAGATAAATATATTAAAGATTTTACAAATATCGCGAAGTGAACATCTCAACTTCGTTAAATTAAATTTTGCGTAAATCTAAAATATTCACGATGCCTTGATAATCAGAAGAAAAAAACGTTCACATCCCAACTACATAAGAAATGTTCAATATAAACACTATAAAAATTAATTATTTTTGCGTATATCCTAGTATTAAAAACATGTATAAGATATAAAAAAACATTATTAAACATTTTGGATGATGCATTGTGTAGAGTAATTGAACAGAAAAGGAAAAATTACTTATTTTTAATTATCTTTCTTTGCACTTTTACGCAAGGAATTTACAAACTTTTCTGGAAGTCTTGTAACTATTTGATTGTGACACAGTTTTAGTCAGGTATATGATGTCACAGATACATCAATGGAAACGTGGATTCAACCTGAATAATACAGCCCATTTTTATCCAAATATTACGTTTGAAGGCGTTAATGAGTTCTATTTTGAAAATAAAGTAGTAATTTTTTGTTTAATAATTTTCTTTAGTGTGTCAATTCTAAATATTTCACTAGGATTCCGATAGTAAGGTGTGTAGCAGATTTACCAATGCCACGGGAGATAAATCTTGCACAGCAAAATTTCATAAAAACATCTATATATTTTGCCAGAAAACTGATTCAAAAGTGTTTTTCCCACCGATTTCATTTTTGAAACAGAAAGATGAAATATTTCTACATTTAGTTCAGTGTGAATTATAGTCCTGTTAAAAATGTATTGGAAGTTACAGTTCTTTGATTCTGACCTAAATTCAATGGTTTATATAGGGGAACTCAGTAACACGAAAGAAACGTATATTTTACTAAATAAGTAGTTTTCAAACAAATCTTCGATTACATTATTCCATTTGGACTACATTGATATTTTTTTCAATAAAATATCAAATATATTACCATAGCCATACACCGTCCCATTCTTGCCACACATCCTCCAATCAAATCCCTTCTTACAGATAGCACTAAGGACGGTAGCGTCAGTGCCGTGAAACAGGTGCTTCTCCGCCACCGCCAGGCCGTCGTTCTCGTGAATCATCTCCGTCCTCTTCCTGTTGGTAAAAAAAAAATTGTTGTCAGGATAAATCTGTTATCTAATGATGTACAAACATTGAATATCAAACATCAGCCTTTGGTAAAACTTTCTATGTTCTAAACATGAAGTAAATATTTGTAGTGGCTTACCGTGTATGTACATACATGTATTTGTAATGCTTTACGATAAACATTGTAAATAATTGTGGTACTTTTCAGAACACTCTGGTATACTTGTGGAACATTATATGCATCCTACATGTATATATGATGTATTTGAATATTTGTCTACATGTTGTTTAATAACTGTGCCAGTTAACAGTTCATATGCTCTCCTATTTTTTACTCACACAGTGAAGTATTTCCACAGAATCGGATTCTGAATGCGACTGATCTTGACGATGTCTGCCTGAGGAAACTGCAGTGTCTCGTAAAACTTGGAGCAGACTTCTATGTATTCTGGGGAGTCAGGCACTAGGTCCACCATTACATGACCCTGTCAACATAAAACCATAGATAACATGTAAACAACCAATAATACAGAAATCACTTATTAGTGATGACATCTTTTACGCGTGAGTCTGCAGGGTTGGCCAGGAAATACCGGGAAATACCGGAGGTGGGAATTACCTGTGGTAAATATCGGTATTCCTCGTCCTGGTAAATAGGGGTACTACAAATTTCATCCAAACTGGGAAATATAAAATTTTAGAATTTATTTCTTCTAATTCATTTCATCTTTCATAATAGAGGACACCTAAGTAATTATCAACAATTTATCTTCATCATCATTTCATCCCTTCTTGTAGTGACTGATGATAATGAAAATTTTTAGTAATCAATAATGTACTGTATAAGTGGAAATTTTAGCGAGAAGCAAATTAAGCAATTTCTCCTTAAAAATTGGGATTCTTTTTTGTAACGAAAAGTAATTTTACCAATTTAAAATGCTCATAACATAAATTTTAGCAATATTCAATTTTAGTGATCACTCTCGCTAATAATGCCAAAATTTAATCCTCTCTAAATTACCACTTATAAAGTACACCCTCCTGCTCACCTGTCGTAGATTGTTTGTACCACTCACCTGTCGTAGATCCATGTATTCCCAGTGGGCGGGCCAGTCCTCAGGGTTCCTGGGTCGTTCCTCCTCCCCCTCTTTGACCTCTGACCTCTCCTCCCACTGACTGGTGCTGCCATCTGGTTCTTCTTCCTCAGCCTCGTCCGATGTTTTCTTGGCCATCATGTTAGCGATGTATTCAATGTAGTCATCGTCCAGTTTGGTCTCCAAAATCTCCACAACCATGCTGGGTAGAGATTGCTTTAACTCGCCTACAAATTAAATGGCACTGGTTTCAGAACACCTCTTAGTAGTATGTTGCATTCTTTTCAACACTTTGTGTATGTTTTGTCGGGTTTCAAGGCATCACAAAAATTCATAATATTGTTAAAGCATAGGACTGTAGTCAGTACTTACTCATAGGACAGTATTTAGTACTTACTCATAGGATAATAACTGTCACAACCTCCAAGTACACACAGAAGTGACTTCTACAAGAAAATTGTTTTTATTAAATAGTTTATGCAACATCCTGTGGCCACGATTCAGATTGTAGTTGTACATTAGCAAATCAACCTCAACCTTCAGTGGATATGAAATATAAAATTTTCAACAGAAAAGACTGATCAACAGACTGAGATATTATACCTTGGTTTTGCCTGTGAGGACTAGTTTGACCTGTTCCTCTAAACAGAAGGCACAGGTGGGGTGTCCCTGTATACAGCGAGAGATTCTGAACCCCAGGAGGGAGATATTACAGCTGGTACACTTCTCCGACCCCCAGCTGCTGCAGGAAGGCTGGGGGGAGGGGGGTCGGGCCACGGGACTGAACCCCGGGTCACTCGCCTGACGGAAACAGCTCTGTTTTTTGGGAGGCAGGTGCTTGGTGAATGTCTCGGAGGACACACTGTACGATCTTCCAAGGACAGCACTGCCTGGGGCTGCCACAGACACGGGTGGACTCTTGGTATCACAACTGCTGGTATGTTGGTAGGTACTAGTACTTGACTCTGACAGGAAGTCCAGATCTAGTGATTTCCATGCGTCGCTGTTGAACAGCTCTTCCTCCTTTTTCATTTTCTTTAGTGTGCTGGCTTCATCTGAGGATGAAGATGCACGTTTGCTGGAGTGTTTTCTAATGTTATCAGAGAAAGACACCGGGATGTCACCAACACTGGTGTTAGGGGGAATGACAGCAGGCAGGTGCCCCGTGACCGTCAGATCCGCGGAGGGGAGACCTGAACCAGTAAGATCTGCAGAGGGGAGACCAGAACCAGGCAGGAGAGAGCTGTCAAACAGATCCACCTTCTTAGGATACGCGTCCATGTGATCATCCAGGGCTTTAGGATCAGAATTATCACAGTTAGCTTGTGCACAATCATTGTCAGATTTGGGCAGTATTTTGACGTTAGGGGGGAACGACTCTTTCAGGAAGTCTGATAGTGTACTAGCAGTCTGCTCCGCGAGGAAGGAACTGCTGGAGTCCAGATCTAGGTCGGAGTCGTCTCCAGAACACTTTTTGGAGGACAGATCTAGAGGAGTGGTGACTGTGGGAAGGCCGTCGTCATTCGTACACTCGTCCAGTGACAGGTCAACCGGAACCTCTGGCCGCAGGCCCTCACAGGACTGACCAGTCTTGACTGGTTCCAATCCACTGGTTCCCATCCCTAATCTTGGCACTGGCTTCACTGTTGTTTCAGCGACAATGATCACGTCCAGGTCTTCGTTCTTTTCTTCCCTTAGAATTTCCACGTCACTGTCGCTCTCATCTGCAAAACACAACAATAAATGTATATCAGCTACTGCTAAATAATGTACAATAGTATTACAATGTAGAGCCTGTATTGCTTAGTAACATACAATCACAGTCACACATGTAGAGCCCATACATATATATTCATATTTTTGCTCATTCTTTGATTGACTATATTCACAAGTTTCAGAAGTATGGTATTTGTATGCTGATAAGGGTTTGTTAATGTTATGTGAACTTTTGAGGATATCGTTTTATAACGCTATTATCACAGTAGTGGAATTAAGTGATGCTAAGTGGTTCAGCACCTGTCACAAGGAAAATGCCTTGATTCACAGACTTTATCTAGCTACACACTCATCCTAACTCAGAAACCAATGACAGTCAATGAGACACATCAGATATAATCCCCTGTAAATCCCACTGTCCTATACCCATGGGCATCCTCATTAGTTGAAACCCAAACATTTTGACTTAACCTCCAAGCCATTGAATAAAGTGAATGTTCATTCATAGTAAAAATGTATTTGATAATAGCTTTATATTACAGATATATGTTTATGAACATTGATAATAAAAAAATTTAATTACATTCAAAAGAAAAAGAAAGTCTGACATTTTCTCAGAATTAAGGGATTGTCTACTGAATTCAACACTTGACCTATAGAGCCTCATCCTGTATCCTCTATCAATGATCCTAATGTACAAGCTGTATATAAAATGTCATAAAACAGAATAAACATGATCACCATTGATCACTGTAACATAATTCTTTATATAAATATCCTTCTGATTGATTCAATTTAAATTGACAACATCTGTTTAGATATCAGCAAACTTTTTTCCTTGTAACAGACACTTTGTCTGAATAGGTTCATGGTACAGCGAGTATTCAATTCCTTCCCTTGTTTTTCCTGTAACACCGAGGAAGACTGCAATACGTAAAACAAACTCTGACATGTGTACATCTCCCAATGAGCAGCTTCATCTGAGGTTAATATATGACCCCCAGTCGTCTCGTCCTGTATTTTGTATCTGTGTCTTGCACAGTATAACTGTGGTATTTCAAACACTGATATATCTCAAATACCATGGACATGATGGATATGCAGAAGTGACTTGGAGGTCCAAACCATTCATTATTTAAGTGTTTTTACACTGCATGGATATCTTATATAATTTGATATCTCTTAGTTTTTCCTTAGTCCCACTGGATTTAAGATAAGAATTTTGACCATGTTGACTGTATTTCATATGTTTGTCTGTCAAATCCACTCTAACATATATCAGCATAAAATAGCATATTTACAGTAGCTTATGGGGAATAAATTGCCCAACCAGACAATGATTTTGTTACATATACATCAAGGTATTCTGTATGTTATATGCAACTTTAAAAAATAGCAATACAACACATGTACAAAGTAAAATTTAGCTAATAGATGTACTTCATTATAAAATGTGTCTAAAATAAATAAACTTGTCAGATAAGATAACACTCCAGATTAAACATTATCTTTAACAACTGAATTTCCTGGAAAAAAAACTAAGTTTCTTTATCCTATAGATACTAGGAAAGATTTTGAATACATTTGGATTAAACATGTTTACGTTTTTTGCTGATAATTCAATATTTGTTGACAAACTTTTAAGTTACACTCAGATAGCATATGCCTGTTGAGAACACAATTTTTTTTCTAATTAAGTCTCAATTTACCAATACACCAAGGTTTGGGATTACTTGTAAGTGAAAGAGATGGTAGCTTCAGTTACTCCCATAGAACAGATGGAAGGCCTGACATTACATGTACAAACCAGAATGCACTTAGAACATTCTGAGGAGGAAAATGTCTCAAAAGTCCATCCCTTGATGCCAATCATCTTATGATTTCAGTTTTGATCCAATGGCAGCATATATTTTGTCATTATATTCCTCTTTCTCATTTCACCCAATATACATTGATGTTAAAACTAAATAAAAGTACCAAGTAAATTAAAGTTCTATGTTCATGCAAGTTCTACATTTTGTTTTCTTTCTTTCATTTTTTTTTTGTTTTTTTGCTTTTGTCTGCAATGTATTAATCAAAATGAGAACACAGACATGGATATTTGGATAATTCCAAACACCACTTGTGAGTTGTGACCTTTCAGTCACTATCAGTATAGGGTAGACTAAGTCCATCATTTAATTGCTCACCTTGTTTTTTTTAATTTTACCTTAGAATTACGTCTAGTTCATGTATTATTAATTATTACCAATCCTGAGAGTGTTAATACGGTTGTTCTACTTTACAATAGTGCTTATTCACATATTCATTTTTCAACACTTTAATATTTTAGGAATATCCTGTAATCTTATCAGGTGGAATAGATTACTGAGAACAAAAATGAAACTGAAAGATAAAGTGAAAGTACATGTAATGCCAGGGTTCCTATGAATAGTTCAATACACAGTGATAGGGGAGTAGATATGTATAGCAGTGATCGTACTGCATGGCACACATTAACTTACAAATAAAATGCTTACCACTTGTTTACGATCCGATTAGGACCAGGAGAGAAATGGTTCTAAGAACATAGCTATAAGCTCAATATAATGCTACTATTATGAAATTTTTTTTATTTGTGTAAGTAAAATTAAAATGGTCTTCAAATATCATTTCCAACAGGTATATATTATCAATTTAATAATCAAGTTTGATGTATGTTACGAAAGTTAATGTCCAAAAAAGACATGCAATGTTTATAGAACTTTATGAACATTCAACCAATTTAATCTTAATTTGCATGGCTATCACTAATAAACAAATGTTTGTTAAAAGTGTGAATTAGAGCAGTTGTTTATTTATCACCCCAATCCCCTTTCTGATATACATGCAAAGAAAATGGAAACTGCAAATAACTGGAATTTTTCCAAGTTAAAGGGGCATAACTCTGTCAAATGGAAACTGTTGGTGAACTGACAGACAAACAGACTAACCAACCGACATCAGTAAAGCAATATACCCTCCCTTCATCAAAAGAGGTCATAAAATGTAAAAATATCAAGTAGACTACAAGGAACCAGTGATTGTTACATTCAGATGGCATACTGTTCCTTCACACGATACCTGACATTATAAGTGAAAGTAACAGGTCTTTCAGATGAGACCTTTAAAACCAATTAAAGTCCCTTGATACATTTTCTCCTTTGCTGTTACATCATGTTATGCGTGGCATGAAAAGAACCCTCATACCTCAATGTCCCTGAGTGCTGAATAGAGGTCTAAAATTTAAATCCTTCACCACTATACATGGTATCTATATATGAGTTAAAAATTCTTGGATGGGATGTGAAGCAACAAAAAATCAATCCCTCTGTTTTAATCCCTTGATTCATTGACTTACTCACTTAACGTTACTGCTGCAGCTGAGATCTGAGGGTAGTTTTATTAAATTCTTAAAATTTTAATTAGGAAGAGAAATGAACCTCAAATTTGCAAACTGGTGGATCACTATTGAAACCATCTTTACATCAAGCAAAGTCTCCCAAATAAATCAGGCACTTGTCAGGCCACGATGAGCAGAGGTAAGTCTTTCTGCTAAAATGTTCCTCCACGCTGAGATTATGAAGTCTCTTGTTCTTCAAATCAGCTAACATCGACTCAAACTATATCAGTTAGTTCTCCTACAACCCATTCCAGTTCATCATCTCAAGCCACGGTCAGGAGTCCGCATATATAGCTCTTTCCTACCCGTGGCTGCTTGATCACAAAAAGTGTCGTAATCTTGAATATTTACGCCTCTCTATTGTGACGTCATATTCAGTCAGTGGCAAGTTTTGTTTCCATCGCAATCGAAATCAACAACTGACGTCAACAGTATACAAGAAATATTTCCTTTTCTGTGATTGGATATTGAAAGGTCGCGATAAAGTTCATAATCCGACTATGCTTTACTCGCATTGGTCAATATTTTAATGAGCTACGAAGAATTCTCTCCTCGTTCAACCACAGCCAGATGGGAAAGGAGCGTACATTTTGGCCCTGGTTTGCGACGATGATTCCAGTTTGACTTAAGACAAATTCTATGGACAATGAGTAAGTTACTGAAAGCTGAATTCTACATTCAAGGCTATCAGTTGGTTCATGATTAAAATGGTTGTCATTTGTACTTCTACTAGCATTATACATACATTATCACTGAATCAATTACAACATCAATAGTTAAAATATTAGGCCTAGTGTAAGTTTGTGAATTAAGTTCTAAAATTCAACCTGGACACAAAAAATAACCATCCATTTGCATTTCAGAGTCAAAGTTTTATACCTCACTAATTTATTAAACCTCTTACTTATGAAATCAGCATCAGTTTAAGGAACACATGAGGTGTGAGTATTTATCTGAAAATCAGCTGATTCATGTTTTGGTGCATAACTTGTCATGCCACAGTGGCAGCGAACTGTGAAAAACAACTTCAGAATAATTTATCAAAAACTAAAATTTACAAACAAATGACTCGGAATATCTGTTGAGAGCCTAGAGATTCCATCCCCGACATAAAAGTCCGGCTTTATCCCTCACCCCTCCCACGGACCTCGAAATTGATCCGCCTGACAGTAAACAATCCAATGGCCGTTCACGATCTTCCTGATTTTGAAGACGGATTTCTACCCTAATTTTCTCCCATTACGTACCATCTGAGGCAATGATGATCGCCAAACTCTCTGATGTCGCCATCCTCGGAGTTAAACTCCCTGGAATCGTGAGAAATTAATCAGAAGTGCCCCATTCTTTTCCGACACCTACATGTATTATGAGCCATTTTCAAAACCGGAAGTTTGAATGTAGTCACGTGGTTTGAAAATACCTGCGTGGATCTAGTATTTTCTCACATATCATAAGAAAAATGGAACTTTCTCTTATATTTAATTCAATCATCCCACAATGTGGCTTATATAGTAATCAATTGTTTATTTGATTTTGTCGATATAAATGTGTGTATTTATCATGTTTATATAGAACAATACTAAAATATCGGGATTTAGCATGGTTAGAGTGAACCCATAAATTAATCTCGTAATATTAAAATTATGTCCACTGACCGCGCGTGGTAGGGTACACTTCCAAATGATCAATCATTTCAATTATTTAGTTATGATAAAAATTCATGTATTCCTTTCCATCAACTTACATTAACAATAAAAATTGTGAACAGTCAGGGCATAAGCACGGGCCGGCCCCCGAAAATTTGGGAACATTTGCATCTCGTCGGAGTAGCTGTCGACCGGATTAATCCATGGAATATCCCTTAGCCAAAGTAAAGTCCCGGCAACCGGCATGAATATCGGACATAATACGACCAAATTTGACCGAGAGATGACTGTATTATATTTGCTAACATTAGTTGATCAGAACGACCGTATAGAAATTACGAAATACTGTTTTTCAAATTCATCAAACATCAAATTACTTGTTAGCAGCCTGCCTCGGTGAAAGGAATTGTGTCAGAAAGATACTGAGTGTCGAATAAGATGAGGCACGTAAACACGAGATGCAGTTAAAATGGAATACGCTTCATAAACAAGGAAATTTGACGATGTAACACTATAGCTAAGTTCCTGTCATTCGTCATACAGTTTGATATTGTAAGATGTCAGCCTATACTGTCGGTAAAAGAACCAAAATGTGGCAGCCGCTGTGGTGTCTTGTATTCTGAATTTCCTCGGATATACACTATGATGTACCGAGTCGACGTCGACATGTGACTGGAAGAACTAATTTCAATAAATTGATATTTTAACGTCCCCGACATATGTTGAGTTGATGGCCACAGAAAGCGGTATATTCTTCAAATGTTATAGGATTTTAAATAAATTCTTTTCCAAGAAATATTAAAGTAACAGAACGGCTCATAAGGAGCACGGTTAGTGCCCGTCGGCTATCCATTAAAAAAGACATTTCCTCTGAGGACTACATAAATGTTATATTATATGAGGAACTCCTTTTAATCCTTTTAATATCAGAAATAACTGTTAATGATCCTAGATTTTCCAATAACACATGTTTTGTATACAATCTTCATCTCCTGCATTCATTTAATATCAATTGCGTAGTACTTGTGTGTATCGTAATATAACCTCCTTTATCTTATGTACTTCTGCAAACATTATGTTAGTTGTTTAAATAAGAAATAGAATAAGTGAATTTTGGCCTTAAAGTGAATGTGATAATCTTGGCAGTGGTCCAATGTTTTATATACTTTATCTTATAAATTTCGGAGTAATCAGCTTTCGTATTACACACAACTAAACAATCAACAACGCAGCGAATGTCAATCAATGTAAATGGAAGATAGTTTATATAAAAGAAGAAAATTGATCATACAGTTTTTTTTATTTGATAATCACAAACATGTCTTTTCTCGGTTACTTAAATGACGGTGTACATGCTCTAATTTAAATCTTACCTGCATAGTCGAAAGGAATATCAGTGGCGGATCCAGAAATTTTGAAAAGGGGGGCCCGATCAGTTTGAGGTCAGGGTAGGGGCCCACAGTCACACCAAAAAAACATTGATTTATCGAATATTGTGTATTTTTTGGGACTCAAAGGGGGGGGGGGCGGACCCCCTGGGCCCCCCTCTAAATCAATAAACCAATGCATATGATTATAACTTTATATTCACATGCACTTGTGAGTAATTCAACAAAAAATAAATAAAAGGAATATAGCTGAAAATAACAAACAGTAATCGATCTCAAAAAATCTACAAACAATTCAAAGCATCACGGACCATCAAATAACCAGAGATGGGATCAGTTGTCTAGATGGAGTAAGCATCCCCTGATGACCTGTCACACCCTCCGTGCGAAGCTGTATCGATAAGGTGTAATGATAAGGTTAAATTTAGTATAAAACTATAGCCAAACATTGGTACGAAATATTTCGGTAAAAATACAAAATAATCGAGAGATTTTGCTGGCTAACAATGTCATTTTATATTTTATGAAAAGTTGACTTTTAACGAGGTTACACGAATTTAGATTTCTGTAACATCAACTTACTAATCAGTATGCTGCCTCGGTGCATAAAAAATAATCGTTTTCAGAGCATGGTCTCACGTATCGAATTATTTTGGGGGAAAACAACATATTCAGGTGATAATGGAATATTACTGCGTAGATAAGGATGGAAAAGCTGAATTCACCTCGCTTGTCATTCAATACAATTGCAACATCCTGTTTCAAAATATCACTTAACAGCGGCACCGAAATATCATTGGTTAACAGCTTTTACATATTATGTAAATGTAGTTCTTCCATTTATGATATTAGATGTATTGATATGGGTAAAGCTCGGGATTTTATGTAAAAACTACGGCAAATTCTTTTATTTTTTTACCAAAGGTAACTTACATTTGCCTTCAGTGTACATGCCCATCGTCGGAAACCCAAGGTCGGTCTAGCTTCGAAGCGATGGTACATGCCAAGTCTAGGGAAAATCATCTGGCTAAGCATTAAATACAGGTATGTAGCAAATTTTATAAATGCTTTAATAAACTTCTCGCTCAAAATACTTGTATTATCTGAGTAAATGTTAGTTTTTAAATTAAATCCACTGTGGTAAAACACGTTTCAGTGTTTATAATTTGCATACTTTAACACATGCATGTTAAACACCATATTTTTTTTTTTACAGTATAGCATATAATATTATAATTTTATTGTTTTCTCATTAATTTTTATGACCCCCCTCCACTCCTCAGAAAGAAGTATGAAGTTTATTATAACGTCACACAATATTTCAACCTCCATCTACCTGATTCTACCAATCAGTTGAATCGTTTGAAATTTAAAATTGAAATCTTATTGATAATTCGTAACCTTTACTGTGTTAATTTTATTTAAAGGAGATGGGCGAACAAGACGCACAGAATGCCTCTACCTCCAGATACAGTGTATATAAAAATCATTTTCAATAATTTCAATTTGTGTGTGAATTTAGAATTTATAATGAAGTTCTCATTATTTAATTTCATGAAATCATTTTTATTTTGATTATCTGTGGAATTTTCAATAAAAATACAGGGTATTATTTTTTCATCAATGAGACTAAACGAACTTTTAAGTATTTCTCAGTGTGATGTGAAAGTTTTGTATTCAAAGTGTACATTTATTTTTAAGGTGTAGGGGTCTTTGTTCCGTGTTTTTGTAAAGAGAAAAATGTATATTTTTATGACCTTTGAGGCTTTATTTTCAATGCAAATGAAGAAAAAAAAAGCAAATTACAATCTATTGAAAAAAATTGTATTGTACAAGTATGTGAATTGTCCTCTTTAGTGTGTGTACTTTACTTCATAGGCAAATAATTACAATCTCTGTGATAAAGATTTAGGAGATTTCACGTGAAGCACATACCTGTATTATTACAGGGAATATGATAAAAGTTATAATGTTCACCTTCGTATTTGTTGCACTGTTAGTGTGCTTATCGCTGTTTTCTTTAATCGATAAAATTTGTTATAAATAGTTGCTTGGGAAGAGTAAACTTTTGTTTTTACTATGCTCCGCACAATATATTACAATGCAATCCCTCGTTTCAAGAAGAAGAAATCAGAAGAAACACCACACTCCGAACGGCTGTGTGTATGGTTAAAACCTTGCATGACGACAGAAAAACGTACCACTCATCACTGAATTTAAATACATTTCCATATTCTGAGTCACTGTCGTGAATAAATGCCAGAAAGCACAATGAAAATCAGCTTTATCACTCAAAGAGCAAGAGCTAATTTTAATTGATCTTGAAAAATACTACATTTTACATCCCGATGGAATATCTGTTGCCGTTGAATATTTTGAAACCGCTCGTAATACAGGTACATGTATACATATGGAGTAAATGTACAACAGAGTGCATTTTCCATATCTGCGAACTTACAATTGCCTTGCTTGGTGTCTTTTTCTTAACTAGAAAAACCCACTCGAAATAAGGCGCAAAACCTCCATATGCAAGTACATTTATTGATTTTTTTTTAAAAATCTACATTTCAAAAAAAAAAAAAAAAAAAAAATTGAAAAAAATAAGAACCCTGAAACTAATATTCACTGGCTCACGAAGAAAAAACAACAATTATCATTTGACTTTTTTCTCAACCGATCCCAATGCTACTTACACACAACCGACACGGTTGAGAAGCGCGCACTAGTCATGAAGTCTGACGTGGATCCGCTCTGAGCGATTTCCAAACGCGCACTGCGAAATAATCAGGAAATCGTGGTCCTTTTATACTCCCGAAGTTGAAAGTTCGACAGGTGCATGTGATTTAGATTTTCATTGGCCAAAATAAAATATTGACGTGGCATGTCACGTGCTCCTTAGAAACGGAAATTCAAAAAACCAAATCACGTTCATAAATCTATATACCGTATGACTTCGGCTGGCACAACTCCTTGAAAAGTTGAAGGGTCGAACAATTAATACAATCTGTATATATTACAGTGTTCGATTTTATTTTAACCCAAATACATTACGTGTAAATTTGTCAAATATGTAGATTTTGTTTTAATCATTAGATTTTTCTGCGTTCAACGCGTGTTTACATAATGGGCGCGGCTTAAATTGTGGTTTAAAATACACCTTGATTAGCGGTGGAGATAACGACAAGTTCCTATTGCAGTCAGTAACTATCTGGGGCACGCCTAGCATAGATGACATGAATTATCGTGGGTGGTATCCTTACGATCAAAAGATATAGAACTATGAACAATCTTATAAGAAAAATGTATAACTCGGAAGATTAAAATGCACGATGGGGAAAGGCCGGGTTTGTGATAAAGGTCAAGAACAAGTGGAGAGGCTTATAAAAACAGAGTACAGACCACTCAGATTGTCTTTCGACGTCTTTGTTTAGATATTATAATATATTTATATATATAGTTATTATAATGTAATATATAATAATAATTTTAATTATAATAATATTATAACAATGTAAATGTAATTTGACTTTTTAACCATACACAGACTTAAGGACAGATGATACAAACAAAACATGGATGCCTGGATTGGTATATATTTTGTGGCATAATTTCATTGAAAATGATGCAAATGATATATTTCTAGAGTATAAAGAAATTGTAAACCTTCTATGATGTTCAAAAGTCTGCCTCTCTGAAACCATCCTTATTAATCTATATAAATATTTTTCACTTCAATTCCTATTTTTGTGAAAATTTGACTAAAATTTTAAAAACTACGCGATGAAACTTGTTCATTTTATTCATTAAAACGTGACTCAAGTCGTTATTTTCAAATTATTTGACAAAAGTTTGTTTGTATCATCTGTCCTTAAGTGTAGTCATGGGCATCGGTTTTGCAATAAACCTTTATTAAACGATGTCTCTTTGGATTCATTACTACCTTATGTAAATCAACAGTTAGGTCTGCAGAACGCACCAAACTTTATTCTGTCCTTTGAAATTTTTACACAGTCTTCTTGAAAAAGTCGAGTAAAGCTCATGTTTTTTATTCCTCGACACCAGAATAAAGGCTCGGATATGTGATTATGGATATTGCAAATCATAGGCTTTTTTGAAACCCCCAAGTTTTACTGAAGAAAATGCAGCTAAACAATCCGTCTTTTCCTTAAACTTTAATATGCCAATAAAGGAATCGACGCGGTTAATAATATTAATATTCAGAATCACTAAAGGGCCGAGTCTTGTATTCCAACATATTACAAGTTGAAGACTACACCTTATATTTCCTACAAATATACATCGACTATTGCTGCCAAACTTTAAAAAAAAATTACAAGAAAACTTTGCAGGATTTGGCCGGATATTGAATATCTGAAACATAATCCTCCATCATGTTCATGTTAGTAGTATAAGGAGCCCCGCTAGGACCGCATTCTGATTGGCTGAGAGAAATCACGTGATCAGTTTTGATTGGTTGAGGGGATAGGTGGGTCAACTGAGTGCAGTCCTAACCCTAACCCCTCTAACCCTAGCCCTAACTAACCCTAACTAACCCTAACCCCCTAACCCTAACTAACCCTAGCCCTAACTAACCCTAACTAACCCTCACCCCCTAGCCCTAACTAGCCCTAATTAACCCTAACCCCCTACCCCTAACCCTAAATACGGGGTTGTTTACACTATGTTTACATTGGTACGTTGGTACTACGTTTTGTTTATGCTAACTGCACAGGTAAATGCGCCGTGTGCAAAACATTTCAAGAATGTCATTATGACGTCACGCATTCATTCACAGTCTAGACAGTCTAGCCTAACCAGTTCAAACTGGATTTATTGAAAACAAGAACCCAGATTTTGATTTTTTTTCAATTTTTATTCAGAATGAAAAATACCTTTTAATTTCCACTGTATCGGCATAAGGGACATTTCTGGTAAGAAGTCTCAAAGAGTTTCTTCACACATTCCTCACAGCAGGGATATTGGTGACATTGTCCGCATTTCCATTTTCCTTGAGTCTTTTCCTGGTAACACATCATACATTCTTTCAACGGTCTGTTCCTGGTTATTTTCATCCATCGGGGAGGCGGAATGTTCTCAATTCCCTTCTTCCAGATGAAATATTTCAGGCACCAGCTACACCCACAAGTCTTCATACTAGGCCCATCATCCTCAATCCAGTGTGGAAATGCCATTTCACAATGCTCGCAAATCGGATAGACTCTTAAATTGACTTTAAAATTTCCGGGGCAGGGGTTATACACTGTGAATTCTTTATAATTCCTGGTGCTCTGATCACAGTAATGACAAACATGATTTTCTACATCATTCCAATACTCCCATCTCCACAGGAAAGGCATGATGGAAATAATGAGCGCAGGGTACTCCTAGCTCTGGTTTATATACTATAGGATTATTTTAGGGCCGTGTGCAAAAATACGTTTTACCTGCGTTTTCTTATATATACCTGTTTGCATCCTCTATAAAGTGCCGTGTGCAAAAACATAAGGGTCGTGTGCAAAAGAAATATACCTTTTACCTACGTTTTCTTATATTTACCTGTTTGCATCCTCTATAAAGTGCCGTGTGCAAAAAAACTGAGGGTCGTGTGCAAAAGAAATATACCTTTTACCTGTGTTTCCTTATATACCTGTTTGCATCATCTATAAAGTGCCGTGTGCAAAAAGTACGATAAAACTTACCTATGCATTGTGACGTCATTCACTGTATAAATACAATGTGATTATGACGTCACACTTTTTCATTTACAGTCTAGACAGCCTAGTCTAGCCAGCCTAACCGGTTTGAACTGATTTTTTTTTTTTTTACAGGAAGACAATAACAAATAACACACAATACAAAAAAAAAACATGTGTGTGTTATGTCTGTCAAGTTATAACACCAGGTCACTTTTTTTAAAAAACTTAGAATTTCTTTTTAAATTTTTTAAACTTTTTTTTTTTTTTTAAACTTATAAATTTTTTTTAACTTTTTTAAAATAACTTTAAATTTTTTTTTCTTATTAATTTTTTTTTTTTGGTAAACTCCCTTATAGTTTTTAAGAAATAAAATAAAAAAAAAAATCATGTAATACTACATCAGTGTTATGTTATTGTATGACTTCATCTTTTATACAGTCGGGTTCGGGGTTTCGGGCGGCCATGGCGAATTTCGGCAGGATTTTACCCCAGTGAAAAAGGCTTGTAATCCACAGTGTAGGTCGTTTAAAGTTGTTTCACATTGTTTATGATTGTGATTATGTTATCGCTCACCTATATGTTTAATGTCAGCTATGCTAAATAACCCATTTCTGTGTAATTTGAGAGAATGTTTTGACATGTGGTTAAAGTATGGCGTGCTATTCATGTTATCATTTAAAGTCGATCCTAAATAAATCTGTCTTAAAAAAAGGTTAATTGTGTATCACTGAATTGTATGATTTTTTCAGGATCAGCTGAGATGTTTTTCACTGGATTATTTAATTGATAGACTTATTGGGCATACATTTGGATATCTCTGGTAAGTTTGTCTTGTTTTTTAATTGTTTACATTTCCTATGAAGGTCATCTTTGCATTTAAACATGATTATATGGTTAATTTAATTACTGTGTAATACTTATGTGATCTGTTGTCTCTAACTTACATTCATATAAGCACACCCTTATTTAACCTAAAATATATTAACACATGATTAAGGGATCTTCAGAATATTAATAAGTCCTTTTGTATAAATTATATGATTTAATTTCATAATTCATTATGTATGTTACCCATGGCCATGGAATTCAGACTTACTAAATGGTGATCAAAGAGATATTAATTAGGAATGTAATAAGAGAAAAGGAGGAATTTACAAAAGATTAATCCTAAGTTATTTACTTTTTGTTTTGATTCTAAATATGTGGGATATATGGCATACATATATTTTCATTTTCACTTTTGTTTCTTAGTAATGAGCTTTTCAAAAAATTAAGGACTACATGTTGTACTGTGATGATGCTAAAAAAAAGATGTATTTTTCTGTATGCAGTACTGACAGATATTAAACAAAATTGAATCTGCTGTTAATAAAAAAATCTTTTAGTGTCTAAATAATTAATTTGATAATCATTTTATTTGTGATATCAATACAGTAATTGTGCTTTTTTTATTATCTAAAGATAACATGATGAACTTTTCTCATCTGGAGTTAATGTTAAAAACAATTTGTTTTGAGATTAAAAACAAACATTTTCATGAACTTTTTTGGCATTGTACATGTTTGTTCAATTTTTAAACATGCATTGTTTCACACAGTACTCTGTCATATTAACAAAATGGTTTTATTTTCTATACAGTCATCAACATAGAAGATATGTATTGTTCCTAACCATCTATAATCAATTCTCTATGAAGTTCAGACTGTCTGCTCTTCCTTTGGAAATACACAGTTAGTCAACCAACATAGAAACACACAAACTTGAAGGTAAAGTTTCAATGAGATACAATTGTAATATATATTTATTTATTATTTTATTTTTTTTTTTTTACATATGCATGTTTATATTTTTGAATTGATATGTAAATGATATATTTAAATAAACAGGGCTTGGTGGTCATGGTCATTTTTAAACTATATTGATCTCCTTTAGAAGAAGAAGAAGAAAAGGCATAAAAATGCATGATCAATTTTTGAAACTAAAATGTATGAAAGTTTTCTTTGCCAAATGATAGTTAACAGCTGAAGATAGCATATCTATAGAATAAGTTAAATATGGCTAATTTGTAACCCCCCCCCCAGCTTCCTTAATATCATAGTTGGTAAAGATAGCAAGTTTTGACTCCAATTGCTGATGAATTCTGAATTTCCCATTTAATATTAACATTATATCACAGGGAAAGAATACTATAATGTAGCACATCAGGATGACCAGAAAAGAAATCTTAATGACCCTCTTAACTATGTATAAAGACTGTAACCTTATAACTGATGTAAGATAATCTGATTGTGTGGAATTAAAATTCCCTGGTGTTTCTACTACCCAAGATCTTCTTATGAGTGCATGGGACTGTTGTAAACCTTCTCCTGTTTATAAAAAAATATACCTTGGAGCATGACACTTTATTCATAAAAGGTACTTTCAATATCATTTCTATGAGTTTTTGTTCTTTCTTTTTAATAATCTAGTGTTATATCTCATTTAAACCCATTAATATGTATGCTTCCAAAATCTTAGATCTGTCTGTATAGTTTTTTCAGCTCTTTGAACACAAATACCCTGATTCAATCTTTTGAGGTAAACATGATAGAGACATCATAGATGATTATCAGAGTGTGTATCACAATCTTAACCATAAGGTCAATTTAAATGGTCTAAGGCACAACAAATGAAAGTGAAAACTTTTTTTTTTTATTATAATACATAATTTTGTAATAAACAAATACTGGAAAAGTTACTCTCATAATAAGCCTTAATGTCCTCCAAGAGTTCAGTTTGGACTTCCTCCATTAATCCTTGTATCTTCTCCAATGGTTTTGTGGGCTAAAATTCATGTGTCTTTAACAACATTTTTTTTTCTGACAACTGTTTTCTCTTATTATCTATAAACTTGACTTCTTCTCTAGTCAAAGGTCTTTCAGGGTAATCCAAGTAATTCTTACCCTCTTTTGGTAATAAATGGTTATATTCCTCATTGGCTTCTTCTGCAATCAAGGGTCTTTCTATGTAATCTCTGACAACATTAGGATCACCCTTCTTTGGACTTAATTGGCTATATTCTTGTTGAGAAATGATCTCAATAGTGCCATCTTTTTTTTTAATTTTATTTGGTATACCTCTGTCTACATCTTTCTCTAAAAGAACTCTCTCTCCAAACTGAATTTTACTCATTCCTTTACTCTTTTTTTTTTTACTGGAGGTGTTACCCATGGTTAATATGGAAATTCAAATTCTGATGTTACACCTTGTATTTATACCCTTTTTTGTCTATATTTAGAATTCCATCAAGCTTATATAACAATTTTTTTTTTCAACTAAGACATTATTTTTTTCTATTTTCCAGGATTCTCTAGTGAGGGCTTATGGAAATGATCTATATCTACTCTCAGAATGGTGAAAGACTATCAGATTAAGCAAAGACTAACAGAATATCCTCTCTTGGAACACTGAAACAAGAAAAACAAACAGGATGGGGGGATTTAAGAAGAACATAGATAAATATGATTTCCAACCAATTTAAGTACGATCATAGACTGTGGTTTACAGGATGACAAAGAAAGGACCCAGGATTGTATCTCTTACTGTCAGACACTGAGTATGGATAAGATGTAGCTATTTATCAGACTGAGATCTAGTCAAATCAAGTATTGAAAATATGATTTCTGATAGCATAAGCTCTTTAAAAACTAATTCTCACGGACCTCAAAGTATCTGAATGTGACTTTTATTTTGACCAATTCATATTGATGACTGTTGTTATGTATGGGAATTACACATTTAAACCTTTTATTTTTCATCTTATTTCTATAACCCCCTAGAAATTACACAGATATTCAGATGCTGGATTTAATGTTATTATTTAACTTTCCTGGAATTGTAAATATATTTTGTTTGTGTATGTATCATGTTTAATTTTGAATTTAAAATTGGTCTCAATAAGACCCCCAATAAAGATGCAAGTGTCCCATAATCTGTGGTTTAATAATATCTTGAATATCTTTATCATACCATATTCATCATACTAATTACATATAGAATGGTTGTAGGAATACACTTTGTTGTTTAGCACACTTTGTCAAGGTCAAAGCATAAGATTATTGAGATGACTTCTTTGACAATAATTTGTAACTTACAAACTTCACATCATAAGTACACAGATGAAGAATCAATAAGATATTTCTATAGATTTTTGGATCATTTACTCCTGGGTAAAAGTTAGTTACTAACTGAGATTACTGATTTGAGTCCTGTAATGCAATAACTTAAACATTGTGTGATAACTTATAGACTTTATAAAAATTAGGTGCAAATTCTTAGGAAAGGATTGAAATGTTAATCAAATGTACAATGTTCAAGGGTGTTTATATGACTATTACTATGTAATACCTTAGAATTCTGTAAAAATTTTATTATCACTGCGTAGATAAAGACTGGTTGGAATAATATATGTTTTCAAATAAGGTTTAGGGAAAAAAGTCAAGAATGTGGATATGACTTTTATTCAAATGGTGCATTACAGTAACTCTGGTGATTTACATACCTTCAGTCATAAATACATGTAGATAGGTATTTGGAAGACTCCTTTAGATTTTGAAATTTTTAATTCAAAAGTATAGAATTTAAGTTTGAAAGATTAAATGGCAGCATATCATTTGCTTGTGAATTAAAAAATAAATCCAAACATATACATCTTTGGATGATAATTGTAGCATTTTATCAATTCCTGGACTTCGGTCTTGATATCATCCTTTAATGTCCTTAAAATTTTAATGACTGTCTTTTAGTTTTAGTTGAATTAGTTTCTTTTCTACATGTGAAAATTACATCATCCAAAGAAGTTCTTCATCTGCATGTTATATGAAGAAGACAATTTTCATTACAGTGAAAGAGATTGTTTTGTTAAACATATTGCATTGATGCACAAATATACTTTTAGATTTTTAATAGCTAGGGTTCATTTTTGTTACATGGAATGATAAGTTCTGTTGATTTCAATTTTTTGTGAACAAAGACATACTAGTAGAAAAAAAAATGTACATGATGTGTTAGAAAAGCATGTGTAAACCTGATGACTTTATATTTGCTGATTAATTCAATTATGAGTTTCATCTTTGTTTCAATGTAAACATTTCTAAGTAGGGCACACATCAGAAACTCTTAAAATTCTGACTATCAGGGTTTAACACAACAATTCCAAATGATTTTTGGACGCTTTTTATGTATCAAAAAGACAAAACAGAATATCTGTTCACAGATGTTCCAAAGGAAAACAACCACAAAGAAAAGATTTGTTATGTTCTTTATGTGATTCATGTAAAATGTATTTTAAAAGTGTAGCATAACATTCATCTTTTGCATAAATACTTTTTTTTTTTTTTTTTTTTGTGGAGAATTTTTCATAACTTTGAAAAAGTAGTCTTATTGTATATAGGGTTAGCTTAAAATCTTGAGGACTTTAAAGTTGTACATGATGTGTTACACATCTTGCATATTTTCCTTTCAGGGTATTCAGCATATATTGTGGTTTTGTCTTAAATTTGTTTGCTTATGTAATCAATAATTTGAGAATACTCAAATTAGAAAATGTATGAGAGAATAGGCAAGAAAATGAGGTTAAAAATGTTTTTACTACAAAGGGGTTAATCTATATATTTAATCTATAAGTACAATCAGTCTATACATTTAAGGTATTTCTGTATGAAATAAACTTACATTTGAGTATTTTAAGACAATTGTAAACATTAATTTAACCAGTTTTGAAAAAATGATTAGATTCACTGTCAGCATGTTATTTCTTGTAAAATAAAAAGAAAACAAACAATTTTATATGGAGTCAGTTTTTTTTTTAATGTAAATAAGAACCATTGGAAGTTGGGAATATTTCACAAAGTTGATTTGATTGAGCATAATTCTCACTAGGACAGTTAGAATATTATGATTTTACCCTTAAAGAAACCATTTCAAATTTCAATATACAAATCATGTTTAGTCATGTACAGTATATAGTTTACATTTGCCAAAAAGTAAATGGTATCTCTATTCAGGGTCAATCCAAAGGAATGAAAACAATGTTTTCTTTTTTATGTATCAAACTTAAAGGTTTTGTTACAATAATTTCACTGTGTTCATTTTCTGATTTCTTTCTATGTGTGGATAACCCTAACCTTGGCAATCAAAATACAGGAAATTAATCAATTATGTCAAATGATGAAGGTGCACACCAGAAAATTACATGAAGTGAACAGAGAATTCTGAGTTTCCCTCAAATATGTTCGCCAAGTGATGTAAATTTTTTAAAAAAAGAAAAGAAAAATGTGGATAATTTATCTTATGATTGAGACTTGTACATATTATGAAGCATGCGCACTTTGGTATTTAGAATGACATTACATTGATTGAATTATATGAACAGTTAATGCATACAGTCAAAAGGGAGGAAATATTTTACTTTATAGGCATAAAGTAACAAACACTTACCCAATTCATCAGAATTTTACTCTTTGAAGAAAAGGAACCTTACTTGCTTTGTTGAGTTGACATTCCTATTTTGTCTTTGGTAGGTAGACTAATGGTTTTCCTTGACTATAATGAGAACTTTTTATTTAAGAGTCCTAAGATTTCCTGATATTTTGGTTAAAATAATTAACTGCATGATATCAAATAATTTGTTCATACAAAGGAATAAAAGATTTTCCAGGTTTCTTCTTTAGTCAGATTAAATGCATGGTGTCCAACTAATATATCCAACATATAATACAAGATAATCATCCAAGTTACACAAAGGTAAATAAATGACCTTTTTAAGGTTTAAGTCAAAAGATCAAAGTGAGAAGGACATCTGGTATATTTAATAGCAAAATCATCAAACTTCATGGATAGGTTAATTAAACAAGCTTCATAAATTTTGATTTTCAGATCAAAGATCAGCACAATTTTTGCTATACCATTGTTGTCCATGAATATCTAAACAACTCTATTGATTTTTTTTTCAGGTTAAAGGTCATTGTGTTCTGTACTCTAACATTTACAAATAAACACTTACTACAGTAAAACTTCATTAATATAAGGATATCAGAGTGATTTGTTAATTTGTAAGAAATTAGTTATAAAATCTCCCACAATCTCTATAATATATATGTGAATGTGCTCCTTAATTTAAAAGAATTTTACATGCAAATCATATACTGACTTTCAATCCTTCAAAACACAATACAAATTGAATCTTGATATTAACACTTTTAGGTTTTCAGACTTTTAGGATTTCAATTTTAAAAACTTTCAGACTTTTAATCTTTAAATGTTTAAAACTTTCAATCTTGAGGACTGATATTTTTGATATTCATTTGGTATGCCATGTCTTTTATATCATTACCATTAATCCTTAGTAATTCAAACTTTTCATATATGTAATACCAGAGTGTGAAAGTAACAGTGTATGTGCAATCTTCTTACTGTTTATCTAAAATTACTGATTTTATTACAGTCAAATAAAATTTTGTGATGAATAATCTTTATCTTATCCTCTTTTCATATAAGATTTTTCAAAGATTATTCATCACAAAATTTTATTTGACTTAATAAAATCAGTAATTTTAGATAAACAGTAAGAAGATTGCACATACACTGTTACTTTCACACTCTGGTATTACATATATGAAAAGTTTGAATTACTAAGGATTAATGGTAATGATATAAAAGACATGGCATACCAAATGAATATCAAAAATTCTCAGTCCTCAAGATTGAAAGTTTTTAAAGATTAAAAGTCTGAAAGTTTTTAAAATTGAAATCCTAAAAGTCTGAAAACCTAAAAGTGTTAATATCAAGATTCAATTTGTATTGTGTTTTGAAGGATTGAAAGTCAGTATATGATTTGCATGTAAAATTCTTTTAAATTAAGGTGCACATTCACATGTATATTATAGAGATTGTGGGAGATTTTATAACTAATTTCTTACAAATTAACAAATCACTCTGATATCCTTATATTAATGAAGTTTTACTGTAGTAGGAACACAATGACCTTTAACCTGAAAAAAATCAATAGAGTTGTTTAGATATTCATGGACAACAATGGTATAGCAAAAATTGTGCTGATCTTTGATCTGAAAATCAAAATTTATGAAGCTTGTTTAATTAACCTATCCATGAAGTTTGATGATTTTGCTATTAAATATACCAGATGTCCTTCTCACTTTGATCTTTTGACTTAAACCTTAAAAAGGTCATTTATTTACCTTTGTGTAACTTGGATGATTATCTTGTATTATATGTTGGATATATTAGTTGGACACCATGCATTTAATTTGACTAAAGAAGAAACCTGGAAAATCTTTTATTCCTTTGTATGAACAAATTATTTGATATCATGCAGTTAATTATTTTAACCAAAATATCAGGACAATCTTAGGACTCTTAAATAAAAAGTTCTCATTATAGTCAAGGAAAACCATTAGTCTACCTACCAAAGACAAAATAGGAATGTCAACTCAACAAAGCAAGTAAGGTTCCTTTTCTTCAAAAAGTAAAATTCTGATGAATTGGGTAAGTGTTTGTTACTTTATGCCTATAAAGTAAAATATTTCCTCCCTTTTGACTGTATGCATTAACTGTTCATATAATTCAATCAATGTAATGTCATTCTAAATACCAAAGTGCGCATGCTTCATAATATGTACAAGTCTCAATCATAAGATGGATCCACATTTTTCTTTTCTTTTTAAAAAATTTACATCACTTGGCGAACATATTTGAGGGAAACTCAGAATTCTCTGTTCACTTCATGTAATTTTCTGGTGTGCACCTTCATCATTTGACATAATTGATTAATTTCCTGTATTTTGATTGCCAAGGTTAGGGTTATCCACACATAGAAAGAAATCAGAAAATGAACACAGTGAAATTATTGTAACAAAACCTTTAAGTTTGATACATAAAAAGAGAAAACATTGTTTTCATTCCTTTGGATTGACCCTGAATAGAGATACCATTTACTTTTTGGCAAATGTAAACTATATACTGCATGACTAAACATGATTTGTATATTGAAATTTGAAATGGTTTCTTTAAGGGTAAAATCATAATATTCTAACTGTCCTAGTGAGAATTATGCTCAATCAAATCAACTTTGTGAAATATTCCCAACTTCCAATGGTTCTTATTTACATTAAAAAAAAACTGACTCCATATAAAATTGTTTGTTTTCTTTTTATTTTACAAGAAATAACATGCTGACAGTGAATCTAATCATTTTTTCAAAACTGGTTAAATTAATGTTTACAATTGTCTTAAAATACTCAAATGTAAGTTTATTTCATACAGAAATACCTTAAATGTATAGACTGATTGTACTTATAGATTAAATATATAGATTAACCCCTTTGTAGTAAAAACATTTTTAACCTCATTTTCTTGCCTATTCTCTCATACATTTTCTAATTTGAGTATTCTCAAATTATTGATTACATGAACAAACAAATTTAAGACAAAACCATAATATATACTGAATACCCTGAAATGAAATGGTTACATATGTAAGATGTGTAACACATCATGTACAACTTTTAAGTCCTACAAGATTTTAAGTTAACCATAATATACAATAAGACTACTTTTTTTCAAAAATATAAAAAAATCTCCACAAAAAAAAAGTATTTATGCAAAAGATGAATGTTATGCTACACTTTTAAAATACATTTTACATGAATCACATAAAGAACATAACAAATCTTTTCTTTGTGGTTGTTTTCCTTTGGAACATCTGTGAACAGATATTCTGTTTTGTCTTTTTGATACATAAAAAGCGTCCAAAAATCATTTGGAATTGTTGTGTTAAACCCTGATAGTCAGAATTTTAAGAGTTTCTGATGTGTGCCCTACTTAGAAATGTTTACAATGTAACAAAGATGAAACTCATAATTGAATTAATCAGCAAATATAAAGTCATTAGGTTTCCACATGCTTTTCTGACACATCATATACATTTATTACTCTACTAGTATGTCTTTGTTCACAAAAAAAAATCAACAGTACTTATCATTCCATATAAAAAAATATGAACCCTAGCTATTAAAAATCTAAAAGTATATTTGTGCATCAATGTAATATGTTTAACAAAACAATCTCTTTCACTGTAATGAAAATTGTCTTCTTCATATAACATGCAGATGAAGAACTTCTTTGGATGATGTAATTTTCACATGTAGAAAAGAAACTAATTCAACTAAAACTAAAAGACAGTCATTAAAATTTTAAGGACATTAAAGGATGATATCAAGACCGAAGTCCAGGAATTGATAAAATGCTACAATTATCATCCAAAGATGTATATGTTTGGATTTATTTTTTAATTCACAAGCAAATGATATGCTGCCATTTAATCTTTCAAACTTAAATTCTATACTTTTGAATTAAAAATTTCAAAATCTAAAGGAGTCTTCCAAATACCTATCTACATGTATTTATGACTGAAGGTATGTAAATCACCAGAGTTGCTGTAATGCACCATTTGAATAAAAGTCATATCCACATTCTTGACTTTTTTCCCTAAACCTTATTTCAAAACATAAATTATTCCAACCAGTCTTTATCTACGCAGTGATAATAAAATTTTTACAGAATTCTAAGGTATTACATAGTAATAGTCATATAAACACCCTTGAACATTGTACATTTGATTAACATTTCAATCCTTTCCTAAGAATTTGCACCTAATTTTTATAAAGTCTATAAGTTATCACACAATGTTTAAGTTATTGCATTACAGGACTCAAATCAGTAATCTCAGTTAGTAACTAACTTTTACCCAGGAGTAAATGATCCAAAAAATCTATAGAAATATCTTATTGATTCTTCATCTGTGTACTTATGATGTGAAGTTTGTAAGTTACAAATTATTGTCAAAGAAGTCATCTCAATAATCTTATGCTTTGACCTTGACAAAGTGTGCTAAACAACAAAGTGTATTCCTACAACCATTCTATATGTAATTAGTATGATGAATATGGTATGATAAAGATATTCAAGATATTATTAAACCACAGATTATGGGACACTTGCATCTTTATTGGGGGTCTTATTGAGACCAATTTTAAATTCAAAATTAAACATGATACATACACAAACAAAATATATTTACAATTCCAGGAAAGTTAAATAATAACATTAAATCCAGCATCTGAATATCTGTGTAATTTCTAGGGGGTTATAGAAATAAGATGAAAAATAAAAGGTTTAAATGTGTAATTCCCATACATAACAACAGTCATCAATATGAATTGGTAAAAATAAAAGTCACATTCAGATACTTTGAGGTCCGTGAGAATTAGTTTTTAAAGAGCTCATGCTATCAGAAATCATATTTTCAATACTTGATTTGACTAGATCTCAGTCTGATAAATAGCTACATCTTATCCATACTCAGTGTCTGACAGTAAAAAATACAATCCTGGGTCCTTTCTTTGTCATCCTGTAAACCACAGTCTATGATCGTACATAAATTGGTTGGAAATCATATTTATCTATGTTCTTCTTAAATCCCCCATCCTGTTTGTTTTTCTTGTTTCAGTGTTCCAAGAGAGGATATTCTGTTAGTCTTTGCTTAATCTGATAGTCTTTCACCATTCTGAGAGTAGATATAGATCATTTCCATAAGCCCTCACTAGAGAATCCTGGAAAATAGAAAAAAATAATGTCTTAGTTGAAAAAAAAAATTGTTATATAATATAAGCTTGATGGAATTCTAAATATAGACAAAAAAGGGTATAAATACAAGGTGTAACATCAGAATTTGAATTTCCATATTAACCATGGGTAACACCTCCAGTAAAGAAAAGAGTAAAGGAATGAGTAAAATTCAGTTTGGAGAGAGAGTTCTTTTAGAGAAAGATGTAGACAGAGGTATACCAAATAAAATAAAAAAAAGATGGCACTATTGAGATCATTTCTCAACAAGAATATAGCCAATTAAGTCCAGAGAAGGGTGATCCTAATGTTGTCAGAGATTACATAGAAAGACCCTTGATTGCAGAAGAAGCCAATGAGGAATATAACCATTTATTACCAAAAGAGGGTAAGAATTACTTGGATTACCCTGAAAGACCTTTGACTAGAGAAGAAGTCAAGTTTATAGATGATAAGAGAAAACAGTTGACAGAAAAAAAAGATTGTTAAAGACACATTAGTTTTAACCCACAAAACCATTGGAGAAGATACAAGGATTAATGGATGGAGTCCAAACTGAACTCTTGGAAGACATTAAGGCTTATTATGAGAGTAACTTTTCCAGTATTTGTTTATTACAAAATTATGTATTCTAATAAAAAAAAAAAAGTTTTCACTTTCATTTGTTGTGCCTTAGACCATTTAAATTGACCTTATGGTTAAGATTGTGATACACACTCTGATAATCATCTATGATGTCTCTATCATGTTTACCTCAAAAGATTGAATCAGGGTATTTGTGTTCAAAGAGCTGAAAAAACTATACAGACAGATCTAAGATTTTGGAAGCATACATATTAATGGGTTTAAATGAGATATAACACTAGATTATTAAAAAGAAAGAACAAAAACTCATAGAAATGATATTGAAAGTACCTTTTATGAATAAAGTGTCATGCTCCAAGGTATATTTTTTATAAACAGGAGAAGGTTTACAACAGTCCCATGCACTCATAAGAAGATCTTGGGTAGTAGAAACACCAGGGAATTTTAATTCCACACAATCAGATTATCTTACATCAGTTATAAGGTTACAGTCTTTATACATAGTTAAGAGGGTCATTAAGATTTCTTTTCTGGTCATCCTGATGTGCTACATTATAGTATTCTTTCCCTGTGATATAATGTTAATATTAAATGGGAAATTCAGAATTCATCAGCAATTGGAGTCAAAACTTGCTATCTTTACCAACTATGATATTAAGGAAGCTGGGGGGGGGGGGGGGTTACAAATTAGCCATATTTAACTTATTCTATAGATATGCTATCTTCAGCTGTTAACTATCATTTGGCAAAGAAAACTTTCATACATTTTAGTTTCAAAATTTGATCATGCATTTTTGTATATATATTGAAATGGAGCTCTTCTTCTTCTTCTAAAGGAGATCAATATAGTTTAAACATGACCATGACCACCAAGCCCTTTTTATTTAAATATATCATTTACATATCAATTCAAAATTATAAACATGCATATGTAAAAAAAAAAAAAATAAATAAATATTACAATTGTATCTCATTGAAACTTTACCTTCAAGTTTGTGTGTTTCTATGTTGGTTGACTAACTGTGTATTTCCAAAGGAAGAGCAGACAGTCTGAACTTCATAGAGAATGGATTATAGATGGTTAGGAACAAAACATATCTTCCAGGTTGAGGACTGTATAGAAAATAAAACCATTTTGTTAATATGACAGAGTACTGTGTGAAACAATGCATGTTTAAAAATTGAACAAACATGTACAATGCCAAAAAAGTTCATGAAAATGTTTGTTTTTAATCTCAAAACAAATTGTTTTTAACATTAACTCCAGATGAGAAAAGTTCATCATGTTATCTTTAGATAATAAAAAAAAAGCACAATTACTGTATTGATATCACAAATAAAATGATTATCAAATTAATTATTTAGACACTAAAAGATTTTTTATTAACAGCAGATTCAATTTTGTTTAATATCTGTCAGTACTGCATACAGAAAAATACATCTTTTTTTAGCATCATCACAGTACAACATGTAGTCCTTAATTTTTTGAAAAGCTCATTACTAAGAAACAAAAGTGAAAATGAAAATATATGTATACCATATATCCCACATATTTAGAATCAAAACAAAAAGTAAATAACTTAGGATTAATCTTTTGTAAATTCCTCCTTTTCTCTTATTAGATTCCTAATTAATATCTCTTTGATCACCATTTAGTAAGTCTGAATTCCATGGCCATGGGTAACATACATAATGAATTATGAAATTAAATCATATAATTTATACAAAAGGACTTATTAATATTCTGAAGATCCCTTAATCATGTGTTAATATATTTTAGGTTAAATAAGGGTGTGCTTATATGAATGTAAGTTAGAGACAACAGATCACATAAGTATTATACAGTAATAAAATTAACCATATAATCATGCTTAAATGCAAAGATGACCTTCATAGGAAATGTAAACAATTAAAAAACAAGACAAACTTACCAGAGATATCCAACTATATGCCCAATAAGCCTATCCATTAAATAATCCAGTGAAATAACATCTCAGTTGATCCTGAAAAAAATCATACAATATTCAGTGATACACAATTAACCTCATTTTACAATGTAAGTAAAGCAATAATTTACAGACAAAAGGGACAGAAATGTAAAAGATACCAGATGTATTTTACTAAAATTTAGTGAATATTTTTCTGATTTAAATTCAATCATAGAATGACCCATCATAGAAATATTAAATGTACTCTGAGTTACATGCAGGCTAAACAAGTGTAAATCACATGAAATGAGGATAAATACAGTACATTTACATTCAAAACAGAACTTTACATAATTATGATTAAATGCAAAGATGACCTTCATAGGAAATGTAAACAAAACAAAGACAAACTTACCAGAATTATCCAATTATATGCCCAATTAAATAATCCAGTGAAACAACATCTTAGCTGATCCTGAAAAAAAGCATACAATATTCAGTGATACTCAATTTAACCTCATTTTACAAAGGAAGTAAAGCAACAATTGACAGACAAACAGGACAGAAAAACATGTTTAAATGTAATGCAAAATAATATCTCTTATATATGGATACCTATACTCTAATCAATCATATTAAATGTCATTCGTAAAATGTATTTTTTAAGACAGATTTATTTAGGATCGACTTTTTAAATGATAACATGAATAGCACGCCATACTTTAACCACATGTCAAAACATTCTCTCAAATTACACAGAAATGGGTTATTTAGCATAGCTGACATTAAACATATAGGTGAGCGATAACATAATCACAATCATAAACAATGTGAAACAACTTTAAACGACCTACACTGTGGATTACAAGCCTTTTTCACTGGGGTAAAATCTTGCCGAAAATTCTCCATGGCTGCCCGAAACCCCGAACCCGACTGTATAAAAGATGAAGTCATACAATAACATAACACTGATGTAGTATTACATGATTTTTTTTATTTTATTTCTTAAAAACTATAAGGGGAGTTTACCAAAAAAAAAAATTAATAAGAAAAAAAAAATTTAAAGTTATTTTAAAAAAGTTAAAAGTTAAAAAATTTAAAGTTAATTTTAAAAAAAGTTTAAAAAATTTAAAAAGAAATTCTAAGTTTTTTAAAAAAGTGACCTGGTGTTATAACTTGACAGACATAACACACACATGTTTTTTGTATTGTGTGTTATTTGTTATTGTCTTTCAGTAAAAAATTCAGTTCAAACTGGTTAGGCTGGCTAGACTAGGCTGTCTAGACTGTAAATGAAAAAGTGTGACGTCATAATCACATTGTATTTATACAGTGGATGACGTCACAATGCATAGGTAAGTTTTTTGCACACGGCACTTTACAGATGATGCAAACAGGTATATATAAGAAAACACAGGTAAAAAGGTATATTTCTTTTGCACACGACCCTCAGTTTTTTGCACACGGCACTTTATAGGTGATGCAAACAGGTATATATAAGAAAACGTAGGTAAAAGGTATTTTTTGCACACGGCCCTAAAAAATAAAATCCATGCTATATATATAAACCAGCGCTGAATAATGAGGATCATTCTGTGTGATTACTTTTAACTCGACAGAAGTAAAATATGGCAGAGGAAAATACAAAGGAGACCGTACCAGAAACACAGGATCTTTTAGACGTAGATGACAGGAGAATGATATGCGGTATCTTAAATCAAATGGCCTTTATCATGCAGATAATTCATAATGATATAGGTGATTTTAGAAAAGAAGTGAGGAAAAGATTCGCCAACAAGGAAGGAAGACACACCAGTTAGTGAAAGAAATACAAAAACTGGAAAAAAGCATTTAGAACCCAAGATTTCAGGGACCCACCAGACCAAACCTTTAGTGAAAAAAGTGAGAAAAAGATAAGTTGAAAAAGGAAGAAAACAGAGTGATTACCAGGCCCCAGCACTACTCACAAAAGGAAATGCTATCCCAATGATCCACTGATGTGACAGAAGTGTGAAGAAAATGTAAATTGTATGTATGTATTTGTCATTATGAATAAAAATTGAAATTAAAATCATTGTTTGTATTGTTTTCTGAATAAAAATTGAAAAAAATCAAAAATGTGTTTTGTTCTTGTTTTCAGTAAAACCAGTTCAAACCGGTTATAGGACTGTAGACTGTGAATGCGTGACGTCATAATCACATTCTTGCAATGTTTTTTTTGCACACGGCGCATTTTTTACCTGTATAGTCAGCAAAAAAAAAAAAAAAAAAACGTAGTACCAACGTACCAATGTATAACACACTGTAAACACACTCCGTATTTAAGGGGATAGGGTTAGGGGTTAGGGGTTAGGGGGTTAGGGTTAGGGTTAGGGTTAGGGTTAGGGTTAGGGTTAGGGTTAGGGTTAGGGTTAGGGTTAGGGTTAGGGTTAAGGGTTAAGGGTTTAGGGTTAAGGGTTAAGGGTTAGGGTTAGGGATAGGGTTAGGGGTAGGGGTAGGGTTAGGGGGTTAGGGTTAGGGTTAGGGTTAGGGTTAGGGTTAGGGTTAGGGGGTTAGGGTTAGGGTTAGGGTTAGGGCTAGGGTTAGGGGGTTAGGGTTAGATACTACCACTCAGTTGACCCATTTATCCCCTCCACCAATCAAATCTGATCACGTGATTTCTCTCAGCAATCTGTGTTCAAGTTTGATTAAATTTTTTTTTTAAAAAATCAGGATCATCTCTTTTATTTATTATTATTAATTTACAAAGAAATTATGTATGCTTTTGATGCATAATGTGCACTTCAAATTCATGCACCAGCAGATTCAAAGGGAAAATTCTCATTAGAAATAAGCAGTTAAGATAAAGAGATTATCCAATTAAAAATAGTTTGAAAAATATTTAAAACAAATTTTCAAGTATGTTATCAAAATAGGAAAAAGGATTATGAGTATAGTTTGGTATTTTTAATAGTAAAAAAAAAGGATATGACGTACTGGCAATTGCATCATCTCACTCAGGGTCTTTCCGTCAGAGTTCGGAAAAACAACCTCGAATGTATTAACATCACCTGATGTTAAAGGTTATGCTTTTCTTGTTTTTTTCAAATATAGGATAGAGGAAGTAAGAAGTCCCTTTTATAGTAAGTTTTATGTAATATCATAGCATTGAATAAAATTAAACTCCATATTCCACAGATAAAAGGTCTTCATGCATTTATTTCGAAGATCATGAAAAGGGGGGGGGGGTTGTTGCCATGGCGTCTAACTAATACATTCAAGGTCATTTGTCAGCTAGTCAGAAAGGCTCGAGAAGTTGCGATTGAACATAGTGGGGGTTCTTGTTCTTTTATTACCAGTCCCTGGTAGAGTTTTTTGATATTAGAACATACTGGGGTTTTCAAACACTTAAATTCATATGGTTACTGGTATCTGTTACATGAGAATACAGCGGGGTTGTTTGTTTAACACTCTGAGGTTACTAAGATGTCTAATATTTTCTATCAGAACATATTGTGGTTCTTGTCTAACACTTTGTGGGGTTAATGTTATCTTTTATCTATATAAGACCATAATGGGGTTGTTACACATTATGGGGTTAGTGTTGTCTATTATCTTTATAAGAGTACTTAGTGGGGTTGTTGTCCTAACACTTTATGGGGTTAGTGTTGTCTATTATCTTTATGAGAGTACATAGTGGGGTTGCTGTCCAAACACTTTATGGGGTTAGTGTTGTCTTTTATATTTATAACAATACATAGTGGGGTTGCTGTCCAAACACTTTATGGGGTTAGTGTTGTCTATTATCTTTATGAGGGTACATAGTGGGGTTGCTGTCCAAACACTTTATGGGGTTTGTGTTGTCTATTATCTTTATGAGAGTACATAGTGGGGTTGCTGTCCAAACACTTTATGGGGTTAGTGTTGTCTATTATCTTTATAAAAATACATAGTGGGGTTGCTGTCCAAACACTTTATGGGGTTAGTGTTGTTTATTATCTTTATGAGAGTACATAGTGGGGTTGCTGTTCAAACACTTTATGGGGTTAGTGTTGTTTGTTATCTTTATGAGAGTACATAGTGGAGTTGCTGTCCAAACACTTTATGGGGTTAGTGTTGTTTATTATCTTTATGAGAGTACATCGTGGGGTTGCTGTCCAAACACTTTATGGGGTTAGTGTTGTTTGTTATCTTTATGAGAGTACATAGTGGGGTTGCTGTCCAAACACTTTATGGGGTTAGTGTTGTTTATTATCTTTATGAGAGTACATAGTGGAGTTGCTGTCCAAACACTTTATGGGGTTAGTGTTGTTTATTATCTTTATGAAAGTACATCGTGGGGTTGCTGTCCAAACACTTTATGGGGTTAGTGTTGTCTATTATCTTTATGAGAGTACATAGTGGGGTTGCTGTTCAAACACTTTATGGGGTTAGTGTTGTCTATTATCTTTATGAGAGTACATAGTGGGGTTGTTGTCCAAGCACTTTATGGGGTTAGTGTTGTCTATTATCTTTATGAGTGTACATAGTGGGGTTGCTGTCCAAACACTTTATGGGGTTAGTGTTGTCTATTATCTATATAAGAACATAGTGGGGTTGCTGTCCAAACACTTTATGGGGTTAGTGTTGTCTATTATCTTTATGCGAGTACATAGTGGGGTTGTTGTCCGAACACTTTATGGGGTTAGTGTTGTCTATTATCTTTATGATAGTACATAGTGGGGTTGCTGTCCAAACACTTTATGGGGTTAGTGTTGTCTATTATCTTTATGAGAGTACATAGTGGGGTTGCTGTCCAAACACTTGATGGGGTTAGTGTTGTCTATTATCTTTATAAGAATACATAGTGGGGTTGTTGTCCAAACACTTAATGGGGTTAGTGTTGTCTATTATCTTTATAAAAGTACATACTGGGGTTGTTTGTCTTATAATTTATGGGGTTAGTGTTGTCTGTTATATCTATATAGCATATTTGGGTTGTTTGTTTAACACTTTCTGGGATATTCTTGTCTATCATCTTCATGTGAAAACATGATGGGTTAATTTACTTTGATGCAACAGTTATCCTCAAATAAAAACATTTTTTTGCATTGTTACTGCTATGCAGTAGTTGAAAAAAAGTTATTGCAATATCCGTTCTAAGTTCTTCAGATAAACAGTAACAATTTTAAGTACTTATAATTAGTTGCCCGTAAAGTTGTCTTTAAATAATTTATTTTTAACCCCACAAATATAGATCTTTAACCCCACAAATATAGATCTTTAACCCCACAAATATAGACCTTTAACCCCACAATATACCATTTGTTTGAATTCCTAATGAAACCTCTCAAGTCACCACTGTACTATTAATAACCCCACAAAGCAAAATTATAACCCCGCACCTTCCGTAAAATGCACAATGTACCTCTCAACTGTATAGCTGTCCGTCCGTCCGTCCGTCAGTAAACTTTTCACATTGTCGACTTCTTCTCAAGAACCAATGAACATATTTAACCAAACTTGGTAGAAAGCATCCATGGGTTAAGGGGAATATAAATTCGCAGGTAGGTTAAGGTAATAACCAAATATTTACTTGCCTTTATGATATGACGTCATAGTAAGCGATATGACGTGAAGCTTAGATATAACAATTTCTTATGATCAATATCTAAGAATGATTTGAGGTGGTGCAAATTAATCAAAATATGCAGAGGCATAACATAAACGGATTTTTGTCGTTTCTGGGTGTCTGTAGTTATCAAATGGGTTAAATTCCAAATCCGTGACGTCATACCTTTTGATCAGGCAGTAGCAAAGTGAAAGTTAAAAGTATCGAGAACTGAAGTAAACAAACTCAAGAAATCGGAATTTAAAATCATTTAGAATGAATCTTATGTGTGATTCATGTTGGATAAATCTTATGAATAAGGTATGGTAATAAAATTCTACGAATTCTTCGTAAAATTTAAGCAGAGAAGGTTTTTGTATGCCGATC